GGCAGCTCCATCCCAGCTGAGCCCCCTGCCCTAACATGTGTGTGCTCCACTCCTGAGTGTCCCACCCCAGCTGGTCTGTCAGGCTGGCATCACTGATATTTGGAGGTTTACTCAGCAAAATCCAGCAGCAAGACCTTACATCTCCACCACACAGGCCAAAACAGCTGCTGCAAAGCTGAGTTTGTGTGCAGGAGGTGCCAGGAAGGGTGGGCAGGGAGCTCCAGGCTGCAGTGGCCTTCCTCCCCTGAGCAGTGTCAGCAGCACCACGGGCAAAAGGGGCTGCAGAGAATTCTCCTATTGCCAACCTACATGGAATGATGGGAGGGAAGAGAAGGATGTGTGCCACACAGACAGGGCACCACAGGGAAACCCCAGGCCCTCTGTGCCCCTCTCACAGCCCAGACCTCTCATTCGGCTTCATTTTGGCTTCAGCAGAAGTTTCCTGTCCCTAATTAGAGAAAAGCAAAGCCTCAGGGCCTTTGAGCTTCATAATTCACTTTGCAAGCAAGGCACAGAGAGAGACAGACACGACCTGGAACGCTCTGTATCTGCCCCTGCTCTGCCCTGCCAAAGCAAAGGTCCCGCTCCTCACCTCATCCCTGCCCTGCTCCATCACATCTGTCCTAGAGTGATCATTCAGTGCTCGACTATTGGTGAAAAGGGAGAATTCATAGCGGTTTTTTGTAAAACATTTTTATAGCAAGCTTGTCAGTGCTGTATCAAGTCTTACACACAGCAGATGCACAGTAACCACTGCACGTGACATTGCACAGCATCAGTGACTGAGGCTGCCAAAAACCAATAAAACACATTAAGAAGAACTCTATTTTCCCCTGTCACTTACACGACAGATCTCCCCAGTTGACTACTTGGCTGTCAGAGAAAATTAATGAATGAGAGAGAAATGGGCTTTCTTTGTTATTAGTACCTCTATTGCTTCCTAATCTATCAGGTTAATTTTGTGTTAGTGAAAGTGAGGATTAAAAACTCTGCTTGCTGGAAGGGTGGGGACAGGGACTGAAGCTCCATAAGGAGCTCAGACACGCTGCACCACGGCTGGGCTGGGCGATCTGATGCTGCAGAAAGGCAGAGCCCGGGGAGAGGAGAGCAGGCTGGGGGTGGTTCTGGCAGCTCCCGTCTTTCTGTGGAGGCAGCGCGGCCATGGCAGCAGCAGCAGCCACCGGAGCCACCCTGGGGCCGCTCGGGCTGCGCGGGGCACGGCGAGGGCACACTGACCCGGGACTGCGCTGAAAGGGACCCAGACCCCCAGCTCGGATCGCAGCTGCTCCTGCAGCCCCCGAGACCCCTGCGCTGCTGCTCCCCTGGGGACAGGGACACACCGCGGGGAGGAGGGGGACAGGGACGCACCGCGGGGAGGAGGGGGACAGGGACACACTGCAGGGAGAGGAGGGGGACAGGGACACACCGCGGGGGAAGGATGCCGTGTGCGGGCACCAGGCGGAGCTGGTGTGACAGGGACGGGCGGGACCGGCCTGTCCCCGCAGTCCCCGCACCCCGGGACCCCGCCCGGCGCAGCCGCGACACACGGGGACAGCAGAAACACAACAAACGTAACTGTAATAACAACAACAATAATAACAGCAATAACACGAAAAGTAACAATAACAGCAATGATCGGGGAAATCTGCAAAGCCCAAGAGGTGACAACAGAGGAGGTGACCATCACTGCTCCAGCCCTGCACAGGTGACCGGTGAGCGCCCATTGCACACAGCCCGTGCAGGGGCTGGAGCTGCCACACTCATCTTCAGCAAAAGAGACAATTTCTGCTTTCTGTTCCCCTTACAAACATGAGATTTCTGAATCATCTGTTTTCCCCTACCAAGCGGCTGGGAAGCTTTGTTTGTGGCGGGTGCAGAGCACGGCACCAACGCAGGTGAAGAGAAGGAAAGTCCCAGCCCAGACCCAGCAGAGTAAATCTGGGAAGCTCGGCCTTGCTCATAGGACTGCCTCAGGATTTACCGAGGCATTCAGGAAAGCTGAATTTGGCCCAGAATTCAGAAAAAAAGTGCTTTCAGCATTTGCTTTCCCAAAAGAATCGTCTGCCAGCTTCTTTTTAACAGGAGAGGCCGAGCCTGTGATCTCACTGACCACGGCAGGGCTTTCCTGGCTGCCTGCCCACAGCACGCCAGGAGTGGGGAGCAAGGGAGCACCCCCTGCCTTTGTGCTCGTATTCCGGCATCAGGGAGTGCTCCTGCTGCTCCTGGGCAACTCATCCCTCAGAAATACCACTGTGCTTGCTTCAGAGGAGACAAAAGACACCAATTGCTGTTTCCAAGGGCTAAACAAAAAAAAAAAAAAAACACAAAACAAAAAAACAAAACAAAACAAAAAAAAACCACCAAAAACAAAACAAAACAAAAAAACAAACAAACAAACAAAAAAAAAAAACCAAAAAAACCAACAGCACTCACCCCTTCAGGTTGTGTTAAAGTGACCCCAGAGCAAGTTCTCCTTCTTGTGACCCCAGCGCCCACGGCTCACTCTCTCAGCACACACCCTGCTCCTGCAAGAACAGATTTCCTCCCTCCATCACCCAGACTGTGCCAGTGACCCAGGAGCAAAGCCTTTCAGTTCAGATGGGCCTGTTCATCATCATCCCCTCTGGGTACAGGGCAGCATCTCTGTCCTCCTGGGAACGGGGTCACCCCCTGGCTCACAGGAGGCCCCAGGGCCACGTCCCCACTCCTGGGCATGGCACTGCCTGACGCAAAGCAGGATCCCACCCTCCCAAAAAAGCCCACACCTCAAAATTAAAATCTCAGAGGGTGTTAATCAGTGCTGCCCACCTTGGCTGCTGTCCATCAAAGGAATCAGCAGCTCAGTACCCACAGCACCATGACCCCAATGGTCACAGCCAGGTCACAGCCATTCCCACCAGACTGAATCCTTCATACCAACACACCCCAAAGGTAAAAATCCCCCTGCATTTCCCTTCATTCAGTGTTGTGATGCCATGATCCTCTCAGTATAACTTGTCAAACTCCCTCTTCAGTTTCCCACCAAAGCTGCTTTCCCCAGTGTGCTTTGCTGGGCCCAGCACGCGGGATGGGAAGCCCTGGCTGAGCTCACTGCCAGCCCCACTCACCTCATGCATCCATTCTCTCTGGCTGCTTACCAGGAAGCTCCTCTCAGGGTGTTTGGGACACAGACCTTCAGCAAACCCTGCCAACCTGTGCTCCTTATTAGACTTTTTTTAAAAGCCTGAAAGAAATGGCAAGTGTGCAAGGAAGAAGTACAAAATAGAGGCTGCAGAGATATGAACAGTCTGGAAAATGTGAATCTTTGCCTTCCACTATGGAATCTGTCCATGGGAAATGTGCCCTCTGACCCAACACACCCTGCATACCTGCCTGTGTAATACAGAATTTGTACTAGATATATCCTGTGCTTAAAATACATGGATTTTACCTGCTCACTGTTAAAAGCAGTATTTTCACAGCCATCTTCCTTTGACTTGCAGCCCTTTTCCGTGATCTGTTGCAGGCAAGGTGAAACTTGTCCCTTTTTTTTTTCCGAATGATGAAGCAATTCCCTCAGGCTAGACACTGACCTTCTACCTCTTTCTTCAGGTAAAATAAGATCATGCTAAATAGTCACATTCAAGTACCTTTGGCAGGCGAGAATGGAGAGAAGGCCATAAAATCTCTCTTTAAAGATGTTCCTCCCAGGAATCCCACTTCTGCCTTGATTCCCAAGTTCATGCTTATCCCACCCATGGCCAGTGCAGGTCTGTAACCTCGTGTTCAGGGAGCACTGCCCTGCTCTGAGCCCCTCCTCTCCCCAGGAGCCTCCAGCCCACCCTGGCACACACCACAGCAGGCCTGGGGAGCCAGCCCCTGCAAGCTCCTCTTGGCTGCTTCCCTACTGAGCAGACATTTTCTCCAGCCCTGGAAAGCCCTGCTGAGTTTTAGGAAAGATTAAATAATCACCCTCATAGACATCACAGTAGGATTAGAAAGTCCACAATTTTTGTGGAGGTTGTGAAAACCTGGGGGATGTTAAGTGTCCAGGGAATGAAGTGTCCTGTTCTGTAGGTTTTGGTCCCCAAATTGAAGGGTTCATGAGCGTTACTTGGCAGGGCAGCACCAGCTGGAAAGGCCCCAAGCAGGGACTTCCCTATATCCCCTCCAGAATTCAGATATATTTAAGGCAGAAAAATACCTCTTTGTTGTACTGTTTGGAAGGTAAGTAGTATGCCCAGATGTGGCTCTTTGAATAATTTCACTCCTCCTTCATATTCTTCCCATCTCTTTCCCACTGAGATTTATTTAATCCTACTTGAGAAAGAGAACTGATCAAGATGGGAGTTATTTCAGCATCTGTTGATGCTGAATCATGACTTCATTTCTCCCGTCCTTTTTACTCTTGAGGATTTAGCAATTCCCTCCAAGACTCTCAACTTCTCTTGTCTTCTGTTAATTAAAAACCAGCTAGGATTGCCTGCTAATTGCACACTGGTTTAACAAAGCCTGGCCTGTTGCTGTGTTTATTTTAAGTGTCACATGAATAGGCAGCAGCAGGTTTTACTGGCACTTCTCTTCAAGTGTGTGGTTTTTGCATGTACTGTGCTGAGTTGGGAAAAAGGTCTCACTAGAAATATTTTTCTTGAGAAATATTTAAAAGAATATTCTTATGTTTCAAATCTTGCATAAAATTGACAGCATTGATAGATTTAAATACCAACAACAGGGAAAGCAAGAAGGGGCACAAAGGGAAACCAGCATGACCATTGTGACCATGCCAAGAGCTTGTTCCAGTATGTCCTAGCAAGGGATGGTGAGTGCCCACGGCTGGGGACATCCAGCTCCTTGGCAAGCTCAGCCAAGCTGCACCTTCAAAACCCATCTGAAGATGTCACTGTCTATTTTTTAGCATCTCAGAACAGCTGTAGGAGTCACATGTCTTATTCTTATTCATTGCACAACACCACCCTCACCTATTGTGCGTTAAAAAACCAAACCAAAACAACAGCTTTCTGTAAATACAGCTTTAGTTTTCCTGCAGCCTCCTTAGCAGCTCTCCGTGGAAATTCAGTGTCTGCCTCAGGGACCCCCAGTGGGGTGTGACAGCGACAGGGCGGCAGCAGTCACACAGAGGTACACCCTGAGCAGCAGCAGTCACAGCACATCCAAAAGCGGTCCGCTGTCCTTCGGCAAGGAGGAGTCCGTCAGGCAGGCATGGTTTCGGTCATATGAAGAATTCCTCCTCCTCCTCCTCCTCCCGTGCGGGCCGTGCCGGGCTGGCCGGTGCGGGCGGGGGGCAGCGCGGGGCTCCGGGCGCTGCTCGGCCCCTCCCGGCCGCGGCCGCTGCCCCGGGGGCCGGCAGCGGCAGGAGGCTGCTCCGCAGGGCCCCGGGGAGCAGGCTGAGCGGGCCGGGGCTCGGCAGGGCCAGCCCGGTGCCCGCGCTGGTCTCCGGCAGAGGAGGCCGCAGGCTCCCGCCCGCCTGCCCGCGGAGCGGCGCCCGGCACGGCCGCGCTGCTGCCCCGGGAGCGGAGCGCACGGGCCTCGGGGCGGCACTGCCCGCCCGCCCACAGGCGAGGCCTGCACTCGCCTCAGGCTTTGCTTTACCCTTCAGAGCTCTGAGCTCATGGCTTCCCCGCCCAGGGTGACCCTGTTTTACAGAGAGAGGGGCTGGCACACACTCCTGCGGGATTCGTCCACTGCCTGTATTACGGTGCTGCTGGGAAAGCCCGATGTTTGTTTCAGGGGTCCTGGAGCTGCTTTGAACCTGTTGGAAATCAGAGAGAAGCCGGTTACCACACACCTCTGGCCTGACCGAGGATGATGCTCTCGCCCAGCCCCGCTGTGCTGGGGTCACCTGCAGCCTGGGTCAGCTCACCTGGGGAAGTCCCTGCCGAAGGAGGCTGTGGATAGAAAAAATCCACATGCATTCCAGGAGAACCCAGATAAACACTTGGAAAGGAGAGCCACTGCCAGTTACCACAACGGGTTTCGGGGGGAATGACAACTCCATGTGGAGTCTGTGAGCAGAGCCTGGGATTTAGTTTGCAATATGGCAGGAGGTCGGGGCAGGGGGGTAAATTGCAGGTACTCAAAAGAAAGATTTACAGTATGGGCTGAAGAGTTGCAGAATAAAGCTCTAGGCTGTCAGCCTGCTGTCTGGAGCTTGGACACAAGACACATCCTCGAGTTCAAGTGGATTACACCTTCCTTTCTGAGGAGCACAGTGCAGCATGTCACATCCCCAGACAAGCTTCCAAATTTCCTGCCAGTGAATTCATGTACGTCTGTCAGCTCAAAGACCTTGTATCTACAGCAGGAAGAGCCACAGAGTAATTTAGGAAGGGACCTTTGGAGGTCACCTGGCCCAGTCCCCTGCTCCAGGTAGGACCAACTTCAAAGCTATGTGAAGATTCCTAGGGCCTTGACCACTCTAAGAGGGTGAAAACCAGTTATAGATTGAGGCAGCAAGGGCTGCCCTAAGATTGGTGTTCAGAGCAGCATAAAAATAGGCTGAACCAAGTAATTAACTTTAACAGAGGACTTCTGGGAGGAAAAAGCCAGGGCAAACAATTTAAAATCCAAATTACAAGAAAAAATAACCAGAGGTGGGAGGAGTTATTAGAATGGAAAGATAGCACACTGAGCCAAACTTCCATTCTATTCACATGTATAATTCTCACTACATATGATCTCAGCGCAGACTTTGTCTTTTTTTTTTTTTTTTTTAAATTTAATTTCATATAACCTCTGGACTGCACACTTCAACAGAAAAGCCAGAGATTTCCTAGGACACATCTCTGTCACTTTCGCCCAACTGCAACTCACTTGTGATCTCACAGCCTTAATTGCAGGCAGTACTGTATCACTTAACAAAATTTTTGGTTTTGGATGCCAAAAATCTGCTTTGAAAAACATTTATACAGCAATGGCTTATCAGAAAAAGATTAGGCTGCTACAGTCTTTTTTTTGAGGCAGAGGACAAAGATGTTAAGCTAGCATGCCCTAGAATGCATCAATAACCTGTATTTCAGGCAAGCAGTAATGATGTTAATTTAACTGTATAAAAACTTTCCAAGGATCAGCGTTGCCCTGATTTTTTAAGTTTTTCTAAGCCTTCTGATGTTTACATTCTTGTAACAAAGCTTCTCACACACTTTATGTAAATAACTTACTGTTTTGCATTCTGTTATAGAAGAAGAGAAATTTGATAGACTGCTAGTTTGTCCAGTGTCATTGGAGAGGTGGCACTTTCACCCTCCAATCCACTGCCACTTTTGGAAATCTATAAATGCTGGAGTCAGAAATTAAAAAGTCCCTTTTTACCTTGAAAGAGCAGCATGTCCGCATCATGTTGTTTCGTGTCCTATAGTGACAGATCAGTGCTTATATTTATCAACAGCATCACAGCACTGACAGACACCAATTACTGCGTTCACAAATTAGAAAGAAAACATGAACTAACAAAATCATAATTTCCATTTTGAACCAGTGCTGCTTTCCTTGGAAACAAGTAGATAAAAGTAGCTAAACCCTCCTCTTGAGAGCCCCACAGGCTTACCTTGAGCAGAATTGTGTTTCCTTCGTAGTCCTGTGTTTGCCACCTGGTGCTGCTGATGGGAACACAGGGGTTGGGCAGGAGGGGCACCAGCTGCCCGATTTCCTGCACCCTGAACTGCAGGGCTGCCGAGTCGGGGGGCTCGGCCGTCACCCCCAGGGGCAGCTGCTTCAGGCACAGCTGCACGGCCACGTCTGGGGTGGCGTGCAGCACGAAGACACACAGAGTGCTCTTCTGCAGAGTGCCTTCCTTCTGGAGGATCAGCTCGTAGAGCCTGACTGCGTCCTCGTAGTTGTCAAAGCTGCAGTAGAGGGTGACCCGCAGGATTTCGGGGCCGCGTTGCGCCCGCCTGACGCCCCACACGGGCAGCTGCTCGTCCAGCCCGTAGAAGTCCTGCTGGCACGGGGCACAGGGAGGGCTCTGCCCATTGGCAAACTGGGCACGCTGGTAGCGCCAGGGAGGGCGCTGGAATTGCTCGTGGACCTGGAAAATCCGTTCTTCTCCCAAGTCCTCGTGCAGGAAAACGAGGATGGATATTCCAGGAAAGCTGCAGCTCCTCTTGCGGTACCTCTCGTAGTATTTCAGCGGAGGAGTTCGCTCAGACACCAGGAAAAGGCGAATGTCCAGGCAGAGCCAGTCCAAAAGCCGATCCAGAGTCTGCTGCAGAGGAAATGAGTGTCCCAAATGGGTGAAGAGATGCACAGTCAGCAGAGACTCTGCTCCATCATCCATCGCAGAGACTCCAGGCAAAAAAACTAGACAAATTGATGCCTTCCTTTGCCTCGGGAACACAAGGGTGTATTCTGAGCCTTGAAAAGAATGAGTTTGGACTCCTACAGGCTTTGCAGTAACTTGATGAAACACGTGGGTAAGCACAGTGAACGTGCAGAGGGGGCAGGTGCGGAGTGAAAGGCTTTAAGCGAGCGGTCCCAAGTCACATCAAGGCTCACTCCCAGCTCTGGGGCTGTGGGCACTGAGTACCTGCGACCCAAGTGTCCAGGAACAGCACTGCATCCTCCTGCTGCTGCCTGTCGCAACACAGGACAGCAGAGATGCACAGCACTGCGACACAAGCAGCGGTTTTCCAGGGTGAAGGGATGCTCACTTGTTCCCAGCAGTGGAAGTGGCTGCTCTGGACTCAGCTGGGTCCCACCAGTGCAATCACTGCCTTTGCCAAAGCCCGCATGGCTGAAACCCTCAGCAAATTTCCTTGTAGTCAGCAGGCTGGCTTTGGCTCATTGTAAAAAGCCTGTGATCTTTGTGAGTCCCACCCTTCTGGGGCACGCAGATAAGCTGCTCTTTGAAAACAAGGAAGGAAAACAAAATAACAAAAGAAAAGACCCAACCATGTGAATATAACAGATAACAATAAGGGCAGATACAAATCAGGAAAGAGGAGCTTTGGGAAAAAACCTCAACTCATAGTAACACCTTTCACAACACAGGTAACTTGGTGCCTAGCTGGAAACCAGGTCTGGGTTATTGTACATAACCCATAAAAGCTGGGTACCAGGCTTCCCATTTTCAGTGCCCTCTTTGCTTCTTTTTCCTCCTTTACTTTTTTTTTTTTTTTTTTTTTTTTCCCCTGAGATACCCATGTAATCAGCAGCCTTAATCGAAGGCCAGGGTTTTTTTTCTTGCTCCTTGGGTTTGCATATTGGTACTTAGCTTACTGCATAAGCTACACTAGGAATGCTGAAAATACACTGCTTTCCAAGTCTCTTCTAGTGTGGACAATAAATCACACTGTCCCTTCATCTCCCTGTTTGCCAGCCCAGCAGCAGCACAATACAGGTCAAGCCAAACCTACTTCCTACACAGAGCTGCCCCCACTGTAGCCAGCATTTAAATCAAAACTGGCGCCTCTGGTGATCTGTCCAGCTCCATCTAATTAAGGGCAGCACATCTCTCTCTGCTGACATGCCAACTTCCCTCTCAAACAGCCAAGCACACAAAGCAGTGTGTTTCACTGTTAAGAAATCCCAGCATTAATAAGTCTGTTACTCAAAATTCTGAACTATTTTTTTTTTAATATGACCCTAACTTTATATTCAACTAAGTAAAATCTCCAGGGTCTAAAGGTATAAGCAGCAGTGCCTTGGTTTCCTTTAGTGAGACCTCTCTCACTGGTAGAAACTCACACTCATGCTTAAAAAGCTACACTGACACCAATGTACAATAAAAAAAAATTTTAAAAGTCTATAAAATGAGGGAAAAAAATATTTTGCACCCACCTGCAACACTGCGAGCAAGTAACAACTGCTGTTGGGAGGGAGACAAAAACAAAATCCAGCCTTCAGACAATTGCAGGAAGACAGTGAAGAGTGCAAGTGCTCAAATCATTAAAATGCTCTAGATGAGCTCTGAACAACACAATTTCACTAAAATATGGAAAAGGAAATGATTCATCAACTCCTTGCTACAGGGCAGGAGCAGGCAGTCATCTGCCTTCCTGCCTGTGAAGAACAGGGGAGTTTGCCTGTACAGGAAAACACAAACTGAGTAAATTCATCAGGGCTTGTTTTGTGGCTGGGAGCAGCTCCCATGAGCGGGTTCCCCTGTTCCCACCCCAGGTGAAGATCCTTGGGCTGCTACTGCACCTCAGCCAGTGCCTGCCCCACTGCCCCTCCTCTCTGGAGCAGGACCCCACTCCTGCCCTGCAGCCTGCTCCCTCCCAGGGCAGTGGAGAGGGAGCAAGGGCAGGCTTTCCTCGTGCAGAGCTGTCACTGCTGGCTTGTGCAGCTCTCAGCCCCAGGCCTGCTCCAATCTGCTGGATAAAATCTGGTGGGCAGCTGCAGCTCTGTGGTGGGTGTGACAGAGGACTGAGGATGTGAATTCTTGGACAGCAAGTGGAGAGTAAGGGCTGAGGGAATGATGCAGAAACCTCGGCCCTCTCCGTGGCCAGGGGGAGGCAAATTGTTTTCCAGATGGGCAGGTGCCTCCCACAGAGGCTGCTGAAGGTATGCAGCATCTCTCCTGTTTTCACAATGTCCAAAAACCTGAGCCTTACAAAAAGGGCTAAATCCTGAATCCTCCACCATGTGTTTCTTCTGTACTTGCTGGGGTGAGACAAGGAACCAATCTCAGCTCTGAAACTCTACCTGATGAAGCTGCCTGTAGAACAGTTTTAGGGCTGATTATCAGCTCCCCAGCAGGTCAGGAGAACCCACCAATCCTACTGCAAGGAGCATGAGAGGAGCTGAAGCTCAGCCTTTTCCTGACCCTCTCCCTCTCCTGCTGGGGGGCAGCCCCACCACCCAGCCAAACCCTCCTGCTCCTCTTCCACTTGCTCTGACAACTCAGTATCCTTGGGGAAGGGCTCAAACCAGGCTCCTCAGCCTCAGACAAGGGTATCCTCATGCCCTCCCTTTGTGTCCAATCTACTGCTCCCCAAGCCTTGGGATAAAGCCTGGGTGCAATGGCCCTGACTGCTGCAGCTGGTGAGCTCAGAGACTTCACCCACTGCTGGCATCAAGGGAACACAAAACTGCCACAACATGCCTTCCTTCACAGCTTTTTCCCTGCAACCAGCCCTAGCCCTAGACTGATTTCCTGCCTCGGGCTAGGGAAAAGGGAAGACTGATGGCTGCCACCAGAACAAAGTGCTGGCTTTTGCTGGGCCATCTAAGAAAAGCCAAGCGCTGATTTCACTCCGATCCTGGAATGGAATGAATCCTTGCCTTCCTCTCTGCCTCCCCTTCCCCCAGCTTCCCAGTCGCTGCCAAAAGGAAAAGCACATTTTTCATTGTGACCTACTGAACGCGCCAGGAAAGATTTCTGCAAAAGATTAGAAAAATAGCAGTTCAATCATACATGAAAAGTCACTTTGCTGAGGGGAGGAGGGGTGAACACTTCTGATATGGGACTCAAAAACCTCAGGGCCCCATTCCCACCTGGCAGTGACTGGTAACACAGCAGAACATACAGGAAGCTGCTGGGGCATCCAGCTGTGTGTAAGAGCAGGACAAATATGAACTGGCACTAATGCATGCACTGGTAAGCCCTGCACAAATTAAAGTCCAAACATAAACAACTAATAAACATGTTATGGTATGAAACCTCAGAGAATACTGTCTGCTGTAAGCCTAAAATTCTACAGTGGAAAGTCTTTTAATTAATTTAATTAAAAATTCCTTTTCATAATCAGTTCCTGAGTTGTGCCTAGTCCTCTGCACTGTTGAGAGCCCTTTGCTCCAGCTGACACCATCAAAAGTGATGATGCATCACAAGATTTAATAAGTTCAGAGCAACACCTGTAAGGAAGGTACTTTACAAAGATTATTAGAATGTAATTAACTGGAGAGACACTGAGTATGTATTACCTAAGCACCTCGGGAGAAGGCCTCATTAAATACATGACTCAGGCTTCCTAATTTCCTTTAAAAACTTTTTTTGTTTTACACCAATCTCAAGCTCTGCCTATAACAAGGACAAAACTACTAAACTAACCTACTAGATGACAATTATATACAGCATACACAGTACAGAGATAAAAATAAAGATTAAGGCCTTACTTGAATACAAAAGCCTTTTCAGAGGTTGTCTCTGGCTTCAAACCCTGTGACTCCAATCCATCATCACTTTGGAGGAACTAAAGACCCAATAACCAAAAGACCAAAACCCCATCTAACCTACTGCATTTGAGTAGATTAAACCACATCTTCCCTGTGCACCTGGTGACTGCAGTAAGGAAAATAAGCAAAGTTATCCTCAGGTGATGCAGGCTTTGGGGCAAGGGCAAGGCTGAAAACAGCACTGGGACACAGAGGTGAGCTTCCTAGTAGTAACAAATATGTTGTAGAAAGGCACGGCATGGCCTTGGCTGGTTGTCATATTCATCTCTCACCAGATTATGTGTCCTCAGCCAGGGCACTAGCAGACACTTCCATTTTTCCTCAGTTTTCAGTTTGTCTAAAATATCTTTTAAAAAACCCAAAACACTCCATGCACCCAAATCGAGACCCACTAAACATAATGAGCCAATTGGAGGTTATAGCAGAAACAAGTATTTGGTAACAAAGGTCAGAGAAGGGGTCAGGTTGGAAGGGCCCTCCATGGGGCATCGGGTCCAACCTCCCTGCTCAGGCAGGATCAGCCCAGAGCACATGGCATAGGAGTGGGTCCAGATGGTTCTGGAATATCTCCAGTGAGGGGAGACTCCACACCCTCTCTGGGCAACCTGATCCAATGAAGAAGTTATTCCTCACATTCAGGTGCAACTTCCTGGGCATCAGTTTCTGCCATTGCCTCTTGTCCTATTGCTTCACACCACAGAGCAGAGCCTGGTCCATTCTCTCGACACCCTCCCTTCAGTCCCTTATAGACATTGATTTGATCCCCCCTCAGCCTTCTTAAGACAGAACAAGCCCAACTCTCTCAGCTTTTCCTGTGGTGACATTGAAGAGCCAGCATTCAGCACTGACCCAAATGGCATCTCTGGGATCCCTCTGCCACATCCCCAGTGTCACCCTTCCACAGGTCAGAGTGGGATGAAGGGGAAGTCAGCCTGCTACACATGAATTTAAGTGCCCAACTTCAGGGACTCATTTCTGGAAGTTTTAACCCAGCAATTTTTATATACATTACACCTCCATTAAAAACTTCCAGAAAAAGAAAACAGGCAGATCTGAACAAACCCAAGACTTGCAGGGCCCAGTGAAGTGTTTGTTTAATCAGCTTACATTTAGCATTGTTGAAGGCGACTGAGAGCAGAATTCTTGGAAGGCCAGCAGCAGAGAGTGGATGTGACTGCACCCTGCCGAGTGCTAATAAGAGCGAGCCCCCAGGAGGTGCTGACCCCGCCAGCGAGGCCAAGCTCCAGCTTCAGGAACAAGTCAGACCCACGCACTGTGAAGGCTTCTAATTACTCCCTTTCCTGAAGACAACCTTCCTGAGATACAGAATATTACACCCAAACTTCTAATTAAGAGAGCCTTGGCCTGGATCCCACATTATTCTGGAATTGCAGATTTACATAATTAAGTTAATACCAAATGCTGCGACAGACAAGCTGCAGGAGATTATTGGCCTCATCTTTAACAGAATTTCAAAAGAAGCAAGATCCAAACAGCCAACAAATATTAGCAGAAGTGGCTCTCGAGGTCTAGGAAACTCAGGCATTACTGGGATTTGGGGCATGTTCTGGTAACTCTGCAAAGGAAAATCTGCACCTGAACTCAAAAGCCATTGTAAGGCACCACCAGGCTCTAACGTAACATCACTCTGAGGACTGCAGGACTTCTTATTGTGAATTTTTCCTCCCAAAACCAGAACTGTTAAAATGAATGCTATTCACAAACAGGGGCTGGAAGTTGCACCTTCTGGTGGATGCCCCTTTTCTGCCTCCGGGTTTTACTCAGGCAAACAGGAGCATGTGGCTCTTCAGACAGCTCCCTTGTCCTGTCTACAGCTAGTCCAGGTCAGCAGCTCCAGGACTGGGAAGGTGAAACAGGCCTTTCCCTCCTGAGCAGCAGTTTGCTTCTTGCTTTAGGGCAAGCAGCTGCTGAGAGCAGGCAGATTGTCAGGCTGGCTGGAGACCCAGGCAGATCTCATGCTGCTACATACAATCACACCACATTTGCAAGATTTTCTTTGCAGGTAAAAAATGTGGAAAAAAAAAAAGTCAGAGATTGTGTTTGAGAATACCAGAAGCACCAGCCTAAACCTCAGTGGCTTACAGTGGAATGGGGCAGAATGCACTTACCAGTCTGTGCACTTCCCAAAAAAAGCTGGGCTGTCCTTGAAAAACTTGGCTTAATTTAAAAGACTGTAAAAATAGAGACACTCACATTATCATATTTACATCTAATTTCCTTAAAGCAAGGACTAATGCTGTGGCTTTCTTTCCACATATCAGATAAATACAGTGTGGTCAAGCACTAACCTAATGAGAATAAATAACTGAGATTAAAAACAAGAGGATAAAAATACCACCAGACTAAACATGATCCTAACAGCCCACCTGGACAGAAAGCATAATTCTCCCTGGGCAATAAGACCACATCCATGGATTTTTCAAAGCACATTTGTTACTTCAGCTAAAGTGCAGAAGATGCCAAAGAAGCTAAAGATGCTAAAAAGTACAGAAGCAGAGTGATTTGAGAACCTGGAGCCTATCTCCTATCCATTGCAATAGTATTTTCACTCTTTTCTACTATTTACCAATTCCTAAAATCTCATTTTTCTGTTGCTCATCCTTTTATGATGCCATTATTACCTGAGCAGATTGTGAATAAATATTATTCCGTGTTGGTATCATTCTATATCATCACCATCAGACAAGAGCAGAGTGGTGCAGTTTCAGGCATTACTCCCTCACCTGCGTCCCAGTTCAGAAAAGACCAACAGCTTCATTTGAATCACAATTCCTAGAACCAGAATTTATACTTGCCTCTTTGTGAAATTTGCATCCCTGGAGGAACACAACCCCCAGCTTCATCCAAGAGTGCAATGAGTAGCAATTTCTTCAAGGGAAGAAGCAGCTGAGCTGTCTCTTCGTGGAGCACCCAGGGCTCAGTCATGCAGCCTGGGGCTTGGGATGAATTCCTGCAGGTGTCACAGGTGAGTTTCCCAGCTCGGGCTGGGCCACCAGTCAAACACCAGCACTGGTGCTGGTCACCCTGCTGGCAACAGCCCTGCTCATACAGCAGAGCAGCACCTGTGGTGAACACACCAGAGCAGGGCTCTTACAAGAGCTCAGTGCTGAAGAATCCAGCAGGTGACAGTGCTTGGTGCCTCAGTGCTGCCCCTGCTTTCTCGCTCCCCTCTGGGTACCACAGCAGCACTCACTGCTGCTCACTGCTGCCTGGGGAGCAAGCTGCAGCGTCATTCTGCCCAGTGCAGCACTTCATAGTAAGAACCTCTGTACAACTGAAAAATCAGAGTTCATTGTCAAATTCCATCACTCAGAGAACATGACACATGCACAGGAAATACCCTGTTTCCAAGATTTCAGGTAAAAGTTATTTTGGGGGGGGGGGGGGGGGCTAAATCCCCCTGATTTCCACAATACCTGTTTCCTTTTAAAGGTAATGACCAGTGAGCCCCAGTCCTGCTCACATCGTGTAACTGCAGACCAACTGCTGGAACAACAGAGCTCAAGACACCAGGATTTCAGCCTTAGACAGGGTTGTTAGTATTTTTCTGTTAATTTCTTGAAACCCACTCCAAGTTCAGGATGTGCAAGGCACTCAGTACGTGCTAAGTCTCATGAGTCACTCCAGCTGTGCCACACTTATCTAAAGAAGTGGTTACAGCAAGGGAGAAATAAATAATAAACATAAATATATTTATCACTGCCAACTAATCCACAACCTTCTGTGGGTGAACTGTTGTCCTGTACCTTTATCCAGCTTTCAGCTGGATATGTAAGTTCTGCATCTTACAGTCTTTTCAAATGAACATGTCAGAGGACAGAGGAACTATTAAACTCACACTTTGGACTGAGCACAGTGGTTATTACATTTACTGTCCAAGCTATCAAAATGAGAGTATCAACAGAAATGCAGCTTTGTCCCGGACACACACAAGATGATGCCAGCTGTGCACATTATTTAGTCCAGTTCCAGGCTGTCAAACCAACCCTTGCTCTAAAGGGCTCCCTGGAAGGGGGAGCTCAGGATCAGAGTGCAGCTCCCCCTAAGCACCACGAGGGAAAAAGCAGAGCCAAAGGTTTGATTGAGCTATAGAGGTTCTGGCCAGTTTTGGACACGCAGAGGCCACAAGTAGTTCCAGTTTTTGGTACTTCTGAAAACATTGGAACCCCATCTCTGTGCAAGCTTATCACCAAAACTCTGCATTATGAAAGGCTCTATTACCATATGTATATATATGCAAGTATCACCCATCAGGAACTACACAATTTGATTGCAATACATGTGAATAAAAATACTTCAGCCATCCAGCATATTTACTGCAAAGCTCCACAGGGTGAAGGAAAGTAAATCTGACACCAGTGGCCGATTCTAAATGAGCAGTGGCAAGTAGAACAAATTGTGTTGCATTGGAAGCTTCAGGGTCAACAGAGCAAGGTTTGTCTTTGGAAAAGAGGAAAGACATGGCATTCAGGAGTAGCTTAACATCACAGACTTTGCCTGCTTGGCATTCATTTATTCTATAGCTAGTGGGGAAATTGTATGGATTAATTCCAGGGGACACAATGAGTAAATCAAAGCTGTAAAGATAGTGAACATGGAAAAGAGCAAGAAGTGCACCAGGGATCCATAGGATTATCACATTTGTTATGATGGTAAATGTGGAATACTGTAAATCCTTTTAAATAAACTCATGTACGAGGAAAGTACATGCCTACACATCTTCAAACAGCTATAAAACTCAAACCCTACTTTTAAAAATTCCAAATAATTAAACTCCATGTTTATTAAGTCTTGTTACTGCATTTAGCTGCACATTAATGCAAAGAAACCAAACTTACTAATAATTGCACTCACACATGTAATCCTACTAATGAAATTTTAACAAAATTACAAAGAAGCCGTAAGTAGATATTAAGGAAGAACTGAAATTAGATAAGGCTTAGCAGAATTCTACTATAGACTGTAAATGAAATTCCACTATCATACAAACATGTAAACATCAAACTCACCTTAAGCACAGTCCTAGTGATTTCTTCTTGTCTCTTACCGGAACTTTCTCATTCTCCATTTTTCAATCCTCTACCTCATGTTCAATGGCAAAGGGCATATTTTTGAAATCTGACTTCAGCAGAAGTCTCTTCCTGAATAGTGTCTTCAAAATTCTATTAAAATGGAAACTAAGCTCCTAATATTTTCTCTGAAGACAGCCATCATCACCTGCTGTTCTTCTGGCAAACACTCTTGCCCACACAGCTTTTAAAAACACACTCTTCAACACCTAATTATACAGTCATTCACACAACATTCAGCCTCAGCCTTCCAAAAGCCACCACAGAAGTAGGAAGCTTCAGCTGATGTACAACAGAAGTACAGAGGCAATGCACAGGACAAAGACCTCCTGTCCCAAATCACAACACTCATGTCTCTGTAAACTTCACAGGGAAAAGGACGTGAACCCATTCCTCCCTGCAAAGCACATGGGAAAACATTAACATGCAATATCACAACATTAATGCTTATAAAGAGTCGGTTATACATAAAAGAAATCCTTCATATTGGTACATGGAAGAGTGATTTACATTTTGAGGAAGATGTTTCTGATGACTTTAAACAAAATCAAAACCCCAGACCATCTGTATTTAGTACTGCTGTACTGGCTAAACAATGACCACATCTCTACTGAAGATTTGCATACCCTGTGCAGAAATAGAGGTGTTTTGTAACAGCCAGCAAACACCTTTTCAGTAGGGCCAATGGCCCAGCTCAATTCTTTTGGGGTAAATTCCTGATGGACAAGGGCAAGAAAGTTCTTCAGCCACCACCTCCTTCTGCTGATTCAAAAATTACTGTGTGTGTGTGCGTAGGTGTGTTGGAGGTGTGCAGTAAACTTAAAGCTTCATAAAAAAAGCTTCCAAATAGTCAAGCTAAAATACCATCCTAATTCCAGTCCCTCTCTTCAGAAGAAATATGCTACTCTTGAACAACAGCCAGGAATTGTACCTTAACAGGCTGGAGAGGGGTAAAATTGTGACACATTGTGAAAAACACTCTCCAGTCACACTGGAACGTTGCACCAGCACCACGCACTTGTTTAGCAGAGCCCATCAAGAACTGCTCTGGCAGATGCTCTACAACCAAGCTTTTCTTTTTGCTTCATTCCCAGCTCTTCATATTGGAAAGCCCATCCCAACTATGTTTTTCAAGACCTATGGGTGAAAGCATTGTGAACAAAGACAAAAAATACTGGTTTGAATTAAAGCAGAAAAATAGTTATAGCTGGGAAAGCACAGAATATGTGCATTGGAATGTCAGAAATATGGTTTAATAAAAACTGCAGTACAATGCACACTCAAAAATTTCTAACTGTGAGAAGAATGATGCCACCAAACTGCTATTTTTAATCTATTTTTTGCAGCATACTGTCAAGAAGAAAAAAAGTTTCAGGGTAAGAACTAAAAATTTCATTACAGTAACAATTTTTTATTGCATGTTTAAAATGCATTCTTAAAAACAAATAGTGCATGCTGGCTTCACTTTAATCTCCTGAAATATGCATTTATGATGGGAAGCCCTGGGGCTACAGCTCCATCTATGATGTTTATTAACAAAATATAATCCCAGTACATCCCCAGGGGACAGTATTTAGTTCCAAAAGATTGTCAACCCTGTACTCTAACACACTTGAATTAGTTGTTTGTGTACACTAAATCCATTTATTTTAAATTTATTTTGTCTACATTTAGTGAAATAAAAACATCGCCCTGTACAATCCACCATCAGCAGTGAGTACAACAGCAAAAATTATTATACAGTTTATACACACTAAAATCTTGTCCTTTTTCCTATAAAGAAACCAGAAAAAAATCTACTCAATATAGAGTTTAATTTAGGAGAACTCAAATTACAGAAGGGAAAGCCAAAATTATTACGGTCTTTTCTGAGCCCCCAGAAGTTCCTGATTCACGTTGTTGGAACAGTGAGTGCAGCTGGAAGAGTGAAGCATGCTCAAGTTGTCTTCCTGGGTCTTCAAAAAAATTAGCAAGTATTTAAATTAAACATGTCTAGTTAAAAAAACATTTGAAGCAGAGCAAGGTAAGTGGGAATTTTGCCTTACCACTCGTGGTTTCTTTTAAACCCAACTTATACAATGCGCGAAGTGCTAAGCAACACTACAGAAACACATTTACATCAACACTGAAGATCTGGGGAAATGAAATTCCAACAAATTTATTTTTTTAAATGAGCTGTATTTTCTAAAGTCATTTTTATTTCTCTGTTTTCATACAGTATTGAAAACAAACGCGGCACATTCACATTTTCCCGAAGAATTGTAAGGATGATCTCTACAGGGATAATGTTGAAAAGCCTGAAGCTCAATTAATTCATGTCAAAAACTCTCAAAAGGAGTAAAAGGCTTGATCTGAATGGTCTAGAACATGTACTGTAATTTAATAGAGAAGATGGTCGTCTTAATATTAATGATTTAAAAGAACTTCCCAGTTCATGCGAAGAGTATAGTCCAAGAATAAATCAAATTTTCTGAACGCATTTTATGCTACGTAAGTGTATACTTTGCGATCCTCAGGTGTTCGTGCCAAATATTCTCTCTCAATAAGTCCTTCAATACGTTTTTTAATAACAACTGGACTTGGTAGGAATCGGGCCTTCAGCTGCTGAGTTACCTAAAACAAAATAAAACCCAACAATAAAATCACAGTGCAAGGAAGAACTTGAAGTACCCTAACAGAACACAACAAACAGAAAAATGTATTAAGACAGATTGTGACAACTATGGAGCATAAAAAGCAGCCTTCAGACTTCTGACAGTCCCTCCACTTGCTTGCTCATGTTGGGGTATGATTCAAAGCTCCACAGAGGCATGGTCACAACCTGAGAATGCTCCCAATTTCACAACTCTAAGGGAGCTCAGGAATGCAAAATGTGTCATATCCTGGAGTTGTGTGAGCTTAGCAGTGAAAAGCAGCAGGACTGCTTCTCTGCTAAGAGCTCTCTCCAGCCTGGACCCAACAGCCAGTAACATGATCAAAGCCAAAAATAATGTAAAGAACACTGGTTTGCTTTTCAAGCAATTTAACATCATAACAGCACTAAAAGTAGGAAGGAAAACTAGATACACCCATGAGCACATGCTACAGTAAAGGGTAAGGATTTAGGTATGCCTTCAGACAGACATGGAGAAAAGAAAGGATGGGTTAAATACAGCATCTCTCCAAAGCTTTTCGGAATCATGTTAGTAAGAGCTAGGTAACTTTATTGAGTTAATAGCAAAAGCAAAACTCTGTACCAGCATACCTCTGCTACTAGCACATTGTGTTGCATCTTCTTTCTAGATTTCATTATCCGAACTATAGCAGCTTCTATCTCATGTTTTCTGTCATCATCTACTTTCTGCCTTGTTTCTTTCCTTTCTGGATCAGATTCTCCTTGTTTGGCAGCAACTTAAAGAAAACAGAGAATGTAAATTATGTTAGCAAAATTAAAATGTATTTCATTGTGTGTTAGCTTCACTATTTATTTCATCTAGACATCAAGTTATATTTTCCTGAGTTTTGACATTTTCAAAGTTGATTTTTTTTTTAAAATGAAAAACAGCCACAAGAACATACTAACACTTTCTGGCATATTTTGATAGCAACTGACAAGATAACAAACTGTTATTTAATTACGACTATGTTAAAATTTGAACAGTTCTCAACTCTGCTTACAGGCACAAGCACCAGCACTTCTATAAGCTAATGAAGTGGTTATTATACACTCAGCTTCCCTTATTTGTTAAACCCAAATCACTGCCCAAAACCATTATAAGCTACCTGGTACTTGAAAATGGCTGTTGTATCATGGGCTAAAAACATTATTCATTTCACTGCAGTACAGCAACTTATGAGGCAATTTTTCCTATTTCTGAATCAATCAGTAGGATATTTTTCATTTTATTATTTAATTTGAATTTTATTTTTCTTTCAGTATTTCCTGTAAGAGATAATTACAAATTTTGTCAAGTAAAAGGCTTAACTGACTTCCACACTGCTCTTGGCATTTGAATTTTCATTTTGATGCAACTAATCACCAAGAAAAAAACAAATTCTCCTTTTACCTCCATGGACATCAATCCTGCAAAAGATAATCTGAAGTTTTAAGGCAGATTTGGGACTGCAAGAGAGCAGAATATAAAGCTGACTTACCCGTCTGAATCTTGACTCTGTGTAGTTTAGATGTGAACTGATCATTCACTGTAAATATATGACCATTTTCTATTTCTTTTGACTTGGGCTCTTTTGTGAGAACACGTTGTGTTGGTTTGCCACATGCAAGGGACTGTAGGGCTCTAACCAGTTCTCTTTCGGGGATGTCAGTTTCTTGCTGAATTTCCTAAAGAAGAATACTTAGTTAGCTTATGGCTGTGGCAGAAGTATTGTGTGTTGCACACAACATAGGGATTGCTTAAAAGTAATACTGTGACAGTTGTGGCACTTGGAAGGTCAGAGCTCATTCAGCAGCAAGGTCTCAGTGGGTACTGTGCAAAATGATCCCCGTGGGTCAGCACTCAGCAAATTCTGTCACATGAACAGTCACCATGAGCTGCAAGGAAAAGAATGAATAGCCAGCTGTTCCATTTCCCTGCAATTGCTGAGAGGACTGAAAGGATTTGTTAACTGTTTCCAGAGTGTGTTGAACAGGGTGAAACCAAACCTTCTGACTAACTCAGTGATGGAAAGCATCCATGATATTCATGAACATTCCTGACCAAGAGCTGCACAAATACTTCTGTGTTCAGCCACACTGTTTAAAAGATCTTTACAAATGGAGCAAGCAATGTCTGGTTTCACTGTAGCATACAAATACTCTAGATCATACCTCCCTTCTGAATAGCTCCAACAATTTATTTACAGCCCAGATGCCTTTGGCTAGGACTTCTCCAGGTGAAATACAAAAAGAGCTCATTATAGTGCGGCAAACATAAGAACTTTGAAGAAGATTGTTTGTAAAACGTGCACATAACCTGGTGTACCTCTGTCAGTGCTCTCAAGAGTCAGCTGAGAGATGGATGTTAGGCAAGTCAGCAGTGGTCATGAGCTAGTAAATAAATTACACTGGATGCAGAATGATGCTTTAATATGCTCTAGGAGAAGGCCAACTATGCTGCTCTCTCAGACCTAATGTGTTTCCTGAGCTCCCATTCAGTAAACGTTCATTTCTTCTCATCTCTTTTCTTCCTACTTCTAGCCTGAGGAAACTGCAGACACTTCTGGTTTCACATTTCCATTCAGATTCCTGAGGGACTCGTAGCAGCTAAAGAGAAAAAACAAACCTTGCAGACATGCAGCTGCCCAAAACAGCTATCCCTTTCTCAGCTTCCCCAACTTTGGTTCCAAGGGCAGTATCAAGCCCTTACATTGTCCCCATAAATTCCTGAGTCTCGTGGCACACAAGTCCATGTGATGACCTCAGGTTAAAAACAGCAGTAAGAACTCCAAGTGATCAAAATCCTAAGATGTGTAAATTATAACAACTTGTTAGAAGTTCTTTAAAGGGTGACCAGAAAAATCAAACTAAATTCTATCAAATAATGTTATTTCTTCAGTATATCAAGTTATTTCTTAAATCAACCCCGAAAAACCAGCCACTTTTCTGTCATCAGGCACCACTGACAACATACAATAAAAATGATTTGGATGTACTGGCTTTGACTCAGACTTTTATCAGGAACTGGACTGCACCTCATGCACAGCACCTCACTACCAGCTCTCTGTGATGCCAAGGCTCAGACACAATAGGTATTATTTCTCAGTGTGACCCAACACTACACACAGAGTGATGACTTGGATGATGGTGATGAACATGGAGCCATCTCATGTTTTTGAGATAAGGTGAAGTGAACTGGAATGACGTAAAAAGAAAAAAATCCCAGTCCAAAATTTAAAAAATTCAGGATTTTTGGTACCGTCTGGTTATAGATGATTCAGAAACACTAATACATTCCTAAGAGTATTCTTAGGAAGCATAATGCATTCAGAAACACTTATACCATTTGAAATAAGTTGTGAATATCCACATATTTTAACTATTTACTAGTATCAAAATGTTTCTTCCCAAGCTGCTCACAGAAAGTTACTATTTCTTCCTTTGCTGCTTTATTTAAAACACGGTTGACACCTTCACACATTTTTTTTTCAGATTCAGTACAAAATAATGTAAAAAAAATCCCAATAAGCTATAATCCTTTACATGGTCATAACAAGAAAACATTACTGAAATGGACTGATCAGCATAAAATTTACCAAAGCAAGGGAAGGTGCAAGATTTTAGAGCTTAGATAAATAAAAAGCCTTAAAGACTACAAACCAAACCCAGGTTATTAAATGATGTAATGCCAGTGACATGCAGGCTCCCAAACTTTGATTTTTGATGAAGAATTAAAATTAATCCTTTCAAAATTACATCAGTTCTACAAGGCCATATATATCTACTCTGCTTTTAACAGAAGTGAAACGAAGAGCAAAAGGGAATTTGAGGGGTTTCATGCTGCCTATCCTTATATAAACCACTGTCTATTTGCTGTTGTACTTCACTCGGACCATTTCACTTTTAGAATTTATAACCCAGCATTAAAGTAAGGACCACAAAGAATTGCACTGCAATATGCTGCCTCAGAAGGAGAAAACTTTTAAGCTGAATAAAAAAAATGCAGCTATGAACATAAATGGGAATAACAGATGTTCCTGTGCTCTCTTTCCCTCAGCCTGTAGCATAATGTTTTCCTGAACATATTTTTATGTAGATATTTGATGTAGCAGTGAGAAATGTATACTTCTTCCCCATCTCCAAAAATGCCTTATTTTATAAAACACATTAGATTTGTGCACAGGAGTAGTACTGATTACACAATCTCAGTGCTAAAATATTAGCAAGTGAGAGCTCTATCTGGGGGCTACAAAAGAGATCATTCCAGGTATGGAACTCTGTCAGTTCTATATAAGAACACAGATTATTAGAAGGAAAATGTGCAGAAAAAAACCAAAGGAAAAGAACTGTAATTTTGCTGAAATAATAAGAAGTATTTTTAGTTTTATTTACAGACTGCAACTTGTGTACTTTCCAAAGCAGACAGCAAAAGAGAGAACAGGTAATCTAATTTACAGTTCTAGTTTACAGTTCTAATCTCTCATATCTGTGGAATTAATCCACAACTTAACTTCTACTACGGTCACATTTGTATTTCTTGTTTGTTAAACATAAAGAACCATGCTTATTTCTGATGCCATTACAAGAAAATGAGCATTTCACCTTTTAAAATACTGAGCTGTAATGTAAATCAACTGAAAAATATGTTGAGTGTAAGACTTGATTAGAAAATGAATTTGTAGAAAAAATTAGCATTCTTTGAAGGCCTGCATGAAGATTCTCTTCCACTTCAGTAGCATTAACCTGCAGCTATATGGCCAATAGCTATTTTGCATATACAAATGAAATGCTGCTGTATAGAAATACAATAAGTGTATACATTTTTTGTGAAGAAAATTTTCTAAGCAACTATCTTTTAAGTTTCCATAGTATTTTATGGATAATTTTTGCATTATCAGTATCCCATTTTCTTCCTCAATCACATGGCCTAATGGTTATTAGGATTATTATGAGGATCTTATCAAGTTTGCAATTAATAATCACACTGAATGCAAAATAAAACAGCAAAGTCTGTTCAGCTGTGAAGGCAACTTCAGATGAATCTGTTGAGCTGTGAATCTGCAGAAACACGTGTGTATCAGACAGTTTCAGGATACACCAGCACACACAAGTCAGCTCACGTGCTCTGCTGCACTGAAAGCACCCATGTGACACAACAGAGAAGGAATGGTTGCCCAGCACTCAGCAGTTAATCAGGGTATCCAATAATCAATGAACAAAGATAAAATTCATCCTCCTCTGAAGTTTTCGTAAGCTTTCCTGGCTGGGGTTAAAGACAACTCCCACACACTTCACCAAAGAAACCAAACAACACAAATATGCCTCCTTAACGTTTTAGTTCAAGTGGGACACAAAGCAAGAGCTTAAGAACTCCCAAATCAGAAATAAACAAAACATACAACCTAAAAGCAGATGGACATATTTCTCTATCATCTGGTCTTGGTAAAATAAAGTATAATTTAGAGCATGTATTAAAAACTGTGTTTTTCACTGCTCTCCCAAGTGTTATTTATTCATATTGGCTAAGGCTCTATTACTCATTAAGCCTGCAATTTGGTGGAAAAAGGCAGCTACTAGCCCAATTTCTAAATCAGCTTCAAGAAAAAAAGAGCTGTTAAGTCCCCCTCCTTGTTTTCACTCACTCAAATATTCTGCAAAGTACTCAAAGCCGTAATGCTCCTGCAATGGATTTCATAACACATAGGACTTTGTGTTCTAAAATAACATTTTAAATTATCAGTAGTTTATTAAGAGTCCCTTATCAAATCCTGCCTTCCTTAATCACTACTGAGACCATTTCAAAGAAACTTGATTAACAGGCTAGAAGTATGCCAAATAAGCTGAAAACACAATCCAAACAAAAAGGCAGATGATTACTATGCATAGCACAGTCAAAAGTAGATGAGAAAACCTGGAAATCAACTGTTTCAAACTGCACCCATACTGCTTTTCAAGGCTGCCAATGCTCTCTCAAACAGAAGATAACGTCCAAAACAAAACTATCAATTTACCTTAACAATACAGTGCTCACACAACAAAGCACATGATCCTCCTCCTCTCCTAAAGCCTTCATCATCATCATCATCTCTTAGCAGACATTTCAAACTTTCCCAGTAACACCCCTCTAGTCTCCTTGTTAAGAATTTATCCAGACCCTTTTTCACTGTCCTTTCTGGCTGATCAGCTCAGAGAAGGGCTGAAAGTTCTTTGATTCATCCTCCAGTTCGGTCCAGCCTGCCAATTTTACTTAGGTATTCAAGAAGCCAGGATAAACCCTTCTCCACCCTTTGGGCTCTAAATCCAGTTTCTCAAAGACAAAATGAGGAAACGGAGCCACCTGCTGCATTTCATCTTCAGCTTTTCTACAGCTCAATGGCCTAGAACAACCACACTCACAATTCTCAAACATTTCTGAAACCTTCAGCTCCCAAATAATTTCCTCCCCTAGAACTGCATCAGGTGCATTGCTAATGATCTGCTTAGCATGATCCACACTCAGATACAACGAGAGGCACCTGATCTTCAAATGCCTAACTCAAGAGGACAAGAACGTGCCCAAACCAGTTATTTAGAATCAGGTAAGAAACCCACAGACTTACCTCAAACGTGTATTTTTCTCTGTTGTTAAATAGCATTAATATTGTCATCTGGAAAGTGGAGACTTGCAATATGTGCTTCCGTGTATTTGAGCCAGTTACTTGGGCACCTCCTACACCAACTTCTGAGCCATCTTCCTATTTTAAAATTCCAAAACTACTGTTAGATTATTCTTCACTGAAAAATGTTTTATTCTGATAAGACGAAAGTTTCATGATGAAACATTTCTCTAGGTGATCAGCCTACAGAAGTGACAGAAAAGCAGACACCTGGGGGCACGGCCAGGATGCTGCTCCAGCAGCTGCCTTACAGTGCCAGGGAGGATGAGTTGGAGGCTCATACAGAGCCCAGACCAGGCCATCTACAGCCCCCAATCAAACACTGACCATTGCTGAGGATGGAGACTTCACCACCTCTGAGGCCCCTGCTCCATTACTAATTTATCCTTCAAGTTTTCCTAAGCTTATCTTTAAAGTTATCAACATATCTATCCTACAGTAACACAATTTCAACATCCTCACAAGCGCATGTTATTAATACTTTGTTGTAAGAATTTTGCTTTCAATTTGCATTGCCTCCTACATTCCCAAACATAATGCCATTAACTAGTTCTAGCTTAGCATTTTAGTACTGGTCTAATCACTACAAAACTCCTTTCTTGTACACATATAAATTAAGCATTGTACTTCTATAAACTCTGTTAGAGTCTTGTTTTTGAAAAAATGTTGTCTACATTTCACTCAGCGCACGAGAAGCGGGCTAAACGTGGCTTAGCAAAAATAAGTAATAAGTTTCTTTTCACTTTTCACTGACAGTCAAAAAAATCCAAACCACTCAAATGATCGAGGCCCCTTCAAGATCACTTTTATTACTTTTCTACAAGTAAAAGATGATGCTGAGTGATGCATTCAAATGAAAAAAAGTCAAAGCAAAATTACTGCACAGAAAGAATCAGACTATAAGTCTGATGGAAGGTATCTTTTTCTTATTCTTACATTCTCAATGGGTTTGCTTTTATTTTACAAAATTCTGAAGTTATAAAAAAAAAAAAGCATTTGCTTACTTTTAACAAAAGATACAATATTTATATAATCTTGATTCTCTACCTTTTTAACAGGCCCATAGAAAGTGGCATTGAGATCTGCAGAACCCATGTGATGCTGGAGTGTCAGCTGTCGCCCACTGTGTTTGGCTAAATAAAATCTGTAACAGAATTGAAATGAGAACAATATATAGCTCACATTTTGTATTGAAGAAGAAATACATTTTAAAAGTTACATAGCCTTTTGGAGCTATTGAGGACATTCTTAAAACATTTTTATCTTTTTTCTTTTTCAAAACATGAACTTTTCTCAGAAATCTATTTAATATCTCCAAAAACCTCAAGCATCATAATGCAAGTATTGCATTCTCCAATTTTCACATAAAATGAAAAAAAAAAAACAGTTTGCCAGCACATCTTTAACATTAAAGCTGTTAAAAAAAACCATCCGTGCAGGTAAAAAAATCTGTACAGGTAAGTTTAGAAAGTTTCTTCTTAAACCTCTACCTAAAAATCCACAGTAATACATACCTTCTAAATATTTCAAAAGCATGTCTGGGAGCTGGAGGGATGTTGCACTTTGGTGTGGCTGACTGGGTAGGCCAGTAACCTGTTGTGAGGACACGCACTGTGAGATCAACACCTCCTAGTGAGACCTAAGGGTAATTGGAAGAAAACATACACTATTTTAAAACAAGACCACGTTTCACCATTTTGTCTGTATCAGTGTAAAATACTTAGAATTTTGTCTAACTACAAAAGAAATAGACGTATCTGTACACATTCTTTTTACAAAACCAGACAAATACATTGAGTCATCACTATCAGAGCAGATGGTACAGCAAAAACCCTCTACATTATTCCCCTCTGGCATTTAAGAGCATACAGAACTAAACAAAAGGAATTCTTAACCAAGAACTAAGTGTCTGTGATCATAAACAGAACTTGTGATACGCGCAACAAATCTTTGTAAATGGGTTTTTTGATGACATGCAATAAAGCCGGGTTGCATGAAACATGTCAGTTTCAGAAGAAGTCTTTCTAAATGTACTCTCTGGAAGTAGAGAGGAAATACTATCCGATGTTGAAGCATAGGGAGCTCATCTGTGGACTGCAATGCCAGCAGTTACTCACTTTTGCACAGCCCACCTATCCTCTTTCCCTAAGGACAGCCATGACTCTGAATATTCAGCACTGGGGAGGAAACATTCCCCAGCTCAAGTGCTGATCTATAAAGATGTGTTGGCAGGTGATAAAGGTCTGGCTACCAGTGATGCATAATCCTCATTAGGTATCCCAACTAAGCTGAGCATTATGAAGCTTAAAATTGACTACTTTCAGCTTTAGGAGGTAGAACCAATACCTTCAAAGAACACACATTATGGACAAAAAACCAAGGCAAACAATATTCAACTTATATAAATCCACCACACAGAAACACATTATGTTTCAGAAGGTCAAAAACTGCCACCTGAACTCAAACTTTCACTATTCAATAGCAGAGTAGCATTCCCATGCACTACAGAAGAGTTTCTGTATTGTGTGTACTGAATGCCTGTGTGCAGCAACCAGCTTGTGCCCAGGAAACTTCTGACAAACCTAAACAAGCTTCAACAGTTTTCTTCCTCCAGCCAAAGTGTGGGAAAAGGCCATCAGTGCAGACAAAAGGATACAGAAAATAAATTTATCTGGAACTGAAACATTTGAGCTGAGATGGCAACAATTTCCCAAAATTTTTTGGCCTTTGCCAGACCATAACACAGCACTAATTCAGAATGCTCCCATCATATGTTATAAGCACTAAGCAGTTGGTAACACAAAAAAGTTTTGGAAGCACTTTATTTCACAAGATGTCTTTTCAGCATGAAAATGGTATGTATTAGTGGGAAGTGCCCTGAAGTGACCCAGTGTTTACAGAACTCCAAGAAATGTTCCAGGATCACAATCACAGAAACACCTCAATCCATAAGCCTGGACTTTCCCTGGTGCTGAGCTTCCCACTTTCTGAGAGCAAACCAATCATCCACACAGACCTCAGCACTGCCTATATCTCAGGATAGAGGGTCCAGAAGGAAACTTTGCAGGTAGGATTATTGTGAGAAAAGCAGATGTCTGACACCTCTAGGAAGCACTGTACACATTGAAGGTACTGAAACTGTTTAAAAAGGAGCAGAACAAACTACTTCATATAAAACACAGTATCACCAGCAATTTAACAGTAACAAAATCCCCCAAATCTTCCTGTATTTCCTAAATAATACTTCTGGAAATTTCATTAAAAGGCCACAATTAGGCTGACCACAAGGAAGCCATCACATGAACTGCTGGTGCCTTGCCAAAAGAAAGATGAAGTTTCAAATAAAGCCTAACAGAACATCTGTTAACGTTTTAAATTCATCTTTTTAGCTGTATATAACTAAAAAGAAGACAGAGATATCATTTATTAACTCACATTAAGACTGTCACGTAAAGTACATGAATCTTCAAGCACAGCCCCCTCTTTACCTACATGTCCAAGCCTGCCATGCTACGAAAAAAAGGGAATGCTTCAACAAATTTTTATTGAAATTTATATTTCAAGCATTCCAGAAGCAAAACATGACTGGCCTCTAAAGCAGAGAAACCAAACATCCAATAGTAAAGCTGCCTGTCCACAAACACCTTTATTCACTTCCTCTCCATCCTTTTCTGAACCCCCTTAGAGAACATGCTGTTCTCCTACTCATGATGAGTCACAGAATGCTGATGAGGAGGATTTCAGTCAACTGCTTCAACACAACAAAGATTTCATATCACAACCAGGGACACTGGACAAAGTATATCCATGAAAATACTCCTGGCATTCAGACTTCTGAAACTGACTCAAACAGGTTTGATGTACTGACCCTACTTACCTGCACACAGGGAACTACTTGGCTGTTTATTATACACGAGTAAGTGCTACTGAATATCAGTACAGAAAAATAATGTTTTAGAGCAAGTAAACTGGTATCTCAAAAATAATGATGTCTCCCTAAAATATTTCAGGGGTCTGCTTTTACAAGACAGTGTAATTTTTCTAATTAAACAACTAAACCAATATTTGACAATTTGCAAGAAAACTTCAAAAACTAAATTTTGAAATTTGCAACAAAATAGCAGTTTCAGCAAAGGCATTAATTGTGTCAGGAAAGCTCAACACGAGATGGTGAGCTTTGCAAATACCTGCAGCCTGCAGTATGTTTCTTGCTCTTAGCAAAAAATACACACGACAACTGAGAGATTAACCTTGGAGAAGGGAGGCTTGGCTGGGAATCCACACGGCAGCGGGGCCGGGCACGGCGCGCCCCCTGGCGGCGCCGGCCGGCAGAGCCGCTGAGCAGCCACGGCCCAGCCCCTCGGACACGCAGACTTGATGGAATGGGACACGGACTTTATGGAATGGGACTGGCACTTCTCGAGCTGTGCATGGAAGTCCCAGCCGACTCTGGCATTTCAGGAAATGCTGATACAGTTTATAAGATAAGTCACACAGTAAAAAAAGGAACAATTTGCACGAGCTGACCAAGTCCTTGTCAGCACATGCATTTACCAACAAAAGAAGAAGCACAGGTGTGGACACGTGCAGGGTTTGTACTGAAGCAAAAGGTCAAGCACACAGACTCCAACACTTACCCCTGTCGCCTGAAGATGTTGCCTGAATTCATCCATCGTTGTGTTTGAGATGCTCATGTCCCTGAACATTCCTTCCAGTTTCGACGTGAATTGACATCCACATTCAGTCTAAAACCACACAAAAAATGTGTTGTACCAGCACTATGAAAACAAAGCTTCTGATAGGCAAACTGCAAGACTAAAGTTAGCTTATAAATCCCCAAAATGACATTTCTGTACTTTTGGTTACTGGAATTTCCACTTGCATTACATTCAGATCTCAGAAAAGATTCCTATTGTATATAAAGATCTAACCCTACACAGATCTTAACTTGCTTTTCTCCTCTCCATTACTGTATTTTTGTCTTAGATTTTTATATCATATTAAAAAAACTGTGAAAGCTTTCCAAATCAAGATATGCACTTTCACCTGCTTTTAGCACAATTCTGAAAAGGGGGATGAACCCAATTTATATCACAAGGAACTCCTGTTGTCCGGGGAGTGTTTTAATTTGAAGGCTGACTGCAGATTACCCAGGAAGATTCCTAGGTCTTGTGAGAATCAGGAACACCTGCACACGGACAGGTGTGCACAGGCAGGGCTGTGTGACTGTTTCTAACACATACTGTGAATGCATGGCAAAGGAAGCCTGCTAGCTTCAGCATCCTGACCACTCTGCAGTTCTGTAAGAAAAGAGGGCACTTCATGTGCATTCATTCACCTGGAAATGCATGTGTGCCCTGTGCTTTCTGAACCACTAGGCTCAAAGGGTGGAGAGGTAATGGAGAAAGAATTAATACTGAGAAATTTGGAGAAATCTGATACAAACAGATTTGGCTCACTGATAGAATATGAAGTTTAAAAATAAGCATCAGTGCAGATTGATTTTAGGATCCCTCTGTTTCAGAAGTGCTCTAATTGTTTATCATGCAACTTGAGAAGAAGCTGCAATAGAACTTCATTTAAGGTCTAGTCAACTTCAGGCTTTACCTTCTCCATCTCTTGCTCTATTGACCCAGCTAAGGAAAATGTGTTTCTAAAGACTGATATGAAGGTTTGTTTTTTTGGTTTTTTTTTTCAAACTACTTATCAAAAAGGAATTGAGCATAATCACCAGTCTGCTGATGGAGACAACTAAAAAACATCAACACAAGCAATAACAAAATTGTACTGTGAATAACAGAAAATCCAGGACAAAACACAGCCTTCAAATTCAGTCACTGCAGTTGTCCTATTATTCAAAAACTTAGAAAAAAAAAAATTTTGTTTTCTAGATTGCACTCTCATCACAGGGGCTTTTCAGTACTTCCTTTTATTTCCATGAAAACATTTGAAAAACCTTTTGTATTTTCTGCTGGGGCTTTCTAAATGAGCTCTCCATTTAGCAGCCATCAAGACTGATATTATCTATATGTCTCATGTAAAACCAGAAGAAACCATATTTAAGAAAAACCCCTAAAAAGTATGCAAGTACTGTCTTACCTTTAATTTGGAGATCATATTTTTCTCAGAGTCATCTGAAACACTCTTATTTGTGAGAAGTCTTCTTGCCAAGTGCTGCTTGTAATAGCGTTCAAAAACATCTTTCTCTTGCATAAACCTGAATAAAACCATTGCCTTATCCAATATAGTTTCTACTTCTTGCTCTGTTAGCTGTAAAAGAAATAATTCTCTGGTTTTAATCTTCCAGCAGAAGTGCCTTACACAGCCCAAGTACTTAAAGTAATTCACAGCAGCAGATGGTCTAACAGTAGCCAACAAAACTGGTCCAATATATGATTGACAGCCAAAAGAACAGTGCACTTACTCAATAAAGTGGAGTAAGAAATAGATCTAAAATGAAGGGAAAGGCAAGGGAAATGGGAAACAATGAATGGGTAGAATTTGATAAATAAAAGTTCCTGGGTAAGTTTAAAACAGCATGAGAGAAATCACTATTAGGAGCAGAAAAGTTCATTTGGAATGAAAGCTTTTAACTGTTAAGACATCTTTTGCAAAGCCTGTCTAGTGCCACACAAATAAAATTATTTTTTGTTTTATAAAAAACCAGAATTTACTATTTGATACCCAAAGCATAAGTTGTATGCTCTAATACTAAGTTTTATTTAGAGTAACTGAAGCCTCAGCTGAACCATCCTGTCCTGTCTGGATTCTGTACCTCAGAAAATGTCATGAAAGAAGCTAAGTCTGAAGGCAACAGATGTACTCAGAACTAGAAGACAGATATGGTAATAGTTCTCTGGTATGTAAAAACAGTAAAAAGCAGCAAAGACAAATCCTTTTCTCTAACCAAATTAATTTTCAGAAGAAATTATTAGATAATGAGAATAGCTGCCAAACTATAAATATACTTAAGGAAATGATATGTAAGGTTTCAAAAGAAGGGAGCTGCAGAATCTACCACAACCTGAATGTTTTTTGAGACAGTATTGCTACAAGCAGTTCAGGTATGCTGCTTCAGAGGTAGGTGACAAGCCACACAGATCTCCTTATGCCTGATTTTACTGTAAATTTAGATCTAAAGTGTTATGAACTCAGACATGTTACATGCACCTTTTTGAAGGTAAAATTATCATTTCTCTTAATACAAAAATAATTCTTAGAAAAGCAGCTTAGTTTACTTCCATCCAAGTTTACAGAGCAAAAAGCATGATATTTTGAGCTGATTTATACTTACTCCCTTGACTCCCTTTTTCAGCTTATCATCAATAAATAATGAGAGGTACTCTGGAGACCTGGAGTTGAGGTTGAGGAAGTACTCGAAGTCACCCGCAATCGTCTGCTTGAAGAGCCGGTCGTTATTGAAAGATTCTTGAAGGAAGCGATCAAACCTACTCTTCAAGTCCAGCAAACCCTGTGAAAAATGAGAAGAAAGCAAAACCATTTTCACTGATGTCACGCTGTAAGCTGGGAAACAATAATAGATGAGGCCATAGAGAAGACCAGATCTCAGTCAAGGTTCTGCAATGATCTCTCTTCAGAATTGTTATAAAGTATCTGAAATGTCATTTGCCTTTTTAAATTTCTATTGCTACCATGAATCTCTTATAGAAGCAATTTTCAAATAAACTGGCTAAAATATTGGTGTCAAACACTAGTGCAGTTTGTTATGATACACTTCTCAGAGTAAGAAAACTTTTTAAACACCCTTGTTAAACAGGCTGACTTGCTGCATTTTTGAATCAACAACTTAAAGGAGGTATTTGTCGCACTCATTAAGCCTTTTCTATTTCAAACAACACAGACAAAGTCAGTATCATAAACACAGCATATGGGAAAGCTGAGGCTGAGCACCCATTAAGTGCATCCCTAGAGCTACTGAACAAGTTTGAGGAGAAAACACATTGCAACAACAGGCCTAGACTTGTCAGTGTTTGTTTCCCTCTAATTTAATCCCGGGACATGTTCTGCATTATTCAGTCATGTGTTTCTTGCTGATCACTAGGAGTCACTGGGAGCATATGAAAGTTAGATACATGCATCAGGGACCTGAACTTAAACACCTCCTCTGAACTCAACCATTGGACTCTCAGCATCATTGTTACATCTCCACCCAAGGTAAAAGCAACTGAGTATAGAAGGGGGAAGCATCTTAACATCACCTGAGCACCTTGCTAAGTATGTATGATACACACAGGTTTTAACTGAGACAGCATTTGGCAGGCAGGGGGAGAGAATTTCACTTAAGAGTTACATTTGTCAGGGACAACCACTGCCTGCAAAAAACTCTTCAAGTTAAATGATATTTACGTCTTCAGGTTCTTAAGAAATTATTCATATGCGGTTACTTAAAGAAGCCATTCAAGAATTAATCAAAAAGCAGTAATATTTCTTAGGAACTCACCATCTCACTTAAAGGAATGATCTTTAGACAGGCTAATTAATGCGTATTAGAAATTTTAAATTCAAAGTAAATCCCACTATCTCTCTGTTTACCAAGGTTAGCTCATGTCTCCTCTCCAGGAGCACACCATCTGAACAACCTGGTGTTAAACAGGAGAAACTGTTAGTACCTTGAATTACAAAAGCATTTCAACATCCCTTCAAACTATTATACAAAGTTTTAAATCTAATCCCCTGGCAATGCTGTTGCAAGCATCTCATCAATTACGCTCAGGGTGATGTCATATTGTGGAAGCAGTGCTGAGCTACGATGGAGTTTTTTTCTTGATGGTTTAATGCAGCTTCCATGTCTGTCTCCTTAGTGCTATTGTCCTTGACAGATTCACATAAACATGGCTGAGATGAAAAGAGCAAGGTGGCTTCTCAATTCACAGATATTCCTCTCTGCTTCCATCCCCTCAGTGGAAGTGGTGGATAAACCTTTCTGGGGTTATTCAGTAACTGAATGTCAATCCCTGCCCCAGGACATCTTCATGAGATGCTGGAGTCCATACTGAAGGGCTGAGCTCTGCCAAAACACATGGGCAAGTCTTCCTCAGCCTCATTTTGCTTTCCACCTTTGTGACAGGAAACCTTGATACTATCATTATAATTAAGTTTTTAGATCGGTCTTTCTTGGTTAAATTTTTTATGATACCTCTTTAGGCCCATCAGGAGCTACAATTACTTCAAAGTAATCCAGACGCTTATTTTCCACATAATTTGCACACATCCCCCCTCCCCTGTTTTTTTTTCCCCCTAAATCACACCACCACAAATATAAGAGTCCTTAATCATTAAAGCTAATAATTTTACCAGGGCATTCTCTCTTCTTTTTACCAGGCCTTGAAGAGGTGATTATTGTGCAAGCCCAGTAAGAAGTTTGCTTCAGCATTGCCAGAAAATTAATAATCCAATCAAAAATGTTTTTATACTCAAATGGCTTCTTCAAAGAGTAACCAGTTCTAGCAGTTACTGTCTTGAAACAAAACAGCAGAGATTGACAGACATACATTGAATGTTTCTCATGAAGAACAGACACAAGGACTTGGACCACACTTTTTAAAGAAATGCAATGTTTAATGAATACACACTTTCACAATAAATATAAAACATCTTCCAGCTATAGAAACACAGCTTTAATGTTTAATGAACTCTAAAGATTTTATATGCAAATTTCAAACCATTTTCTCAGAGATGATGGAAAAGGATGACAAATAGTTCTGAAGCATATTTTGTGATCTTGATAAATTAATGGCACACATTACTTAGTGGGAGAGAACAAGAAAGAACACTCACATTTTTTAACATGCAAAACTGTTCTGTTTCTTTTGGAGACAGAGAATGGAATGAGTAATTTGTTATGACTGATAAACACATTCATCTCTCAGTCACAGCTAAGCTTGCCATGAATTATTGCCATGTGATTTTTGCCTCAATAAACACTGATAGCTAACGTTACATAAAATTAAACAAAGTGGACACTATAAAGCTATTTGTCAGCAGACATACAACTCTGGAGACACAGAATTTAGGGGAAATTTAAGAAGTTCCCAGCAGTTAGATATTAGGCTGAATAAGCTGCTTATTAAAAGCAAATACTAAAAACCCAAAAACTTAGTATGTGCTTTCCAACCAATTTCAGCAAGAGTTCTAAACATGTCTGAAGATTCAGAGAAGGCACACTAAAAAACATTTATAAATTTAGCTTATTAATAAGAACCCCTTTTGAATCAATACTAAGGTATACCTCATAAATTGTTTATATGGTGAACTGCTAATGTGGGGAATGTGGGAAAGAAGAGGAAGTAAAGTATTTAACTACCTGAATGTAGTCAACTGGATTCTTTCCTTCTCCCTCTTCAGAAACCAGTGCTTTGCCTTGCTCTCTCAGGTATGAGCTCATGCACTCACACATTGTCTTCAGACCATTTGGCACACGGCTGAACAACTTGTACATGCAGGCAAGGTCTGCAAGCAAGAATGAGAGATTATGCAGGACACCTCAGTGTGTTACACTTCTGTAACTCATTCATCTCAGAGCTAAAGCTGCCAGTTGAGTTCAGCCTCTTGAGCCTCAGAAAGCATCCTGTAACAGCTCCGGCACCAGATTCGTCTGATCTCCTCTTTCCTTTAGCCCTGACAAGATGCTGACTACAGCAGCATCAAAATGAAAAGCAAAGACTGTATTCAACTATTCTAGGTTGTCTGTAGCAGGGAACCAGTCATTGCTGACCTCCAGGCCAGCAAAAGATTATGCTAATTCTAAAGGATAGTGAACCTATTAGACCTTCAGCAAGATTATGCTTTCCAGCAGTATTTAACAAAGTAGCTTCCAAGATTATCATTCCCAAAATCAAGCATTGCATCAAACTTTTTTTTGAAAGAAAGTTAAGCCAAATAGGACAGCACTAATGTGATGCTTGTTTCTGTATTAAAAGCAAAAACTGGTAAAAACTTAAGAGTTTAATTTATATTTGTCTTAAAGCCAGTCATACACGTTTACATTACTACGTTTCATCCACCTAAAATAATGAGAAGTGGCTTAGGCCAAACATTGCTGTCCAAAAGAACAATCCATCCTCGTATCTTTGTGAAAAAAATCTCATCTTCACAAAGCAGCATTTCCACTCTAATAGTTAACTGAATCAAACCAAGGCCTATAAAAGTTAAACAAATTCCTGTATTTTATGAATACCCTTCAATACCCTTGCACCCTCAGCCTGAAGGTTATCTAAACTGGATATTAAAGAGGAAAGTGTTAAGTATAGTATTATCACTTTCTTTTTCAACACAGTAATTCTTTTTTACAGCTAGGAAATGTGCTCACTTTGTGCTCTATCACCTAGTAATTGTGAAGCTGTTTAATGAACAAAGGCCATTAATCTAAGCAGCAAAGCTGCTCCCCATTCTCATGGCTTTAGCGTGAGCACTGATTTCTAAATATAGATACTACAATCCCTCTCTTCGTTATGCTGCTTCAGAAACTTAGGTTCTATTTCCATAATAACTTTCATTCAGTCACTTTGTCCCACATTAACCTCTATTCGGGAAAAGCAAATCAAGCCAAGCCCTTCTGTTTCAGCCACTTCAATAAGCTGCTTCTTATCCTTAAAATAAGAGCCAACTCATTTCTGCAGCAATGCTCCCACCCCAAGAATTGGTCCTGCAATGCTTCTGTTTAAGTCTTTCACACAAGTACTTTTTAAATAACTGCCTGTGGGCCAAAAAAAAATGGGATGCATTTTCACAAATACATATTAGAGGAATGGAAATAATAAAATAAAATGGCTCATGGTCAACTGGTGACAAAAACCACTACAACAGATTTATAATTTTCTTATGAGATACTTGGTTTACCAAAAAACTACCTGTATCTGGTACTAAACAGAAACAAGTTAAGTGTATGGGCTCTGTTTTAAGAGCCATCTAGTAGTCACTGAATATTCTCAGATGTTTGTGAAACAGTTATTAAATATTTCCACAATTACACAGAAACACAGATGTTAAGCTTGACTTATCCCATGTTTAAAAACAATAAGCAGTATCAGAAGCATTTGTGTCTCACAAATGATGCAGTCTTACCTTCTGTCTTCCCATTCTTCAGCATATGAACCAGCCCAGAGTTCTCCATTTCCACTATAGTTTTCATATGCTTGGAAATAAGCTCCCTCTCAACAACTTTCACAATGGGTTCTTCTGTTGATTTATCCAGACAATGCATCACCCGCTCTATTTCTTCATTAATTCTAGCTTCTACTTTCTTTATATATACAGAAGCACTGTTTTCAGCCAAAAATTTCTGACTTTCCATCTGTAATTAACACAAATTAATATTTTAGAATTTTTTATAAAGGGTAAAAAGAAAACATGTCAGAGCAGCATTTGTAAGTAATGTTTGTTCAAATCAAACACAGCACGTCCAACACATCCAAGATTCACACACACACCTAACACAAAATAAAGGTTCTATTACACTAAATGTGTTAATAAGGGGGTACATGCAATATAGACAATGTATTTTTCATAGTAAAATAACCCAAGCCAACTTCAGTTTCCAGTTACCAACTACAGTTTTAGCCACAGGTTCAAAGAAAACAAAGATGGGGAAAGGGAAGGATCAAAAATTCCTTCCAAATACCAGTTTATGGTAGTTCTCCTTATTCTTATTAGTGACAATGCTGAGTACATTATTTCATGTCAAATTGGTTTTATTCATATTGGTCAGCAGTCTTTGGAGAAAAGATGTCTTATTTTTCAGGCAAAGCTAAGTAATGGAACTTAAATGAAAGTAATTATTTTTCTTAATTTTACATAAGCATTAATAAAAACCAGAACACTGACATTTAAATGGCTGTGCAACATATGCTTCTGCTTTTCAAGGAAGTAAGGAGCTCAGAGCATATGACAATTGATCTCGCATAAGAAATGGGAGACTCTCAAATTACCTTATCTAGGTATTTTTAACATGATTTTAAAATTTCTATCAATTTCCAGCAATAGATGATCATGATTACACTCAACAAGCACTTAACTGGCTTTCCTCCTCCAAGTATCTCACAAAAGAAACCCCCGCGAAAATATTTGGAATGTATTATTTGGTGGTTGATCAACAACTGGAGAGCCACTGGGATTATGCTTAGTTCCTTGACTTGGTTTATTTTATCACAAAAAACCCTCACAGATGCGGAAACTATCAAAGTTTCCTCAAAGGCAGTTTGACAGGTTTCCAAGCCTGAAACAGTTTGAACCTTTCATGCTAGTGGCATTTCAAAAAGACTGTGGAGGCAAAGCAGATGTAGACTAAGTTACGTGAAATAACCTAAAGGAGGCACATAATAAGCATGATGATTACTGTACATGTCATTGGCACCCACAGCTCAAAACTACAATCAAATTATGCTAATTCTGTAAAATCTTTGTTACTTTTCCCTGCAAAGTTAGTGACTATTTTTCCAATTTCATTTAATGGAGATGGACATACTCGTCAAAAAAGCAACAAGTATGCAAAGCACCACCAAATCTGACAGTTCAGGGAACTGAGAGTTATAACAGCATTCCAAATATGGTAATAGAATATTGCTGTACCTGAAAAAATTCTGCAGACATCTCCAAAAATGGAGCCTCAAAGTCTTCTTCATAGACTGACCTTCCTTCAAGACCTAGAATCATTAACATCTGGCAAGCATTTCTTATTGCGCCTCTGCCAAAAAGTAAGTTGTTAACAACTTGAGAAATCTACGTGGTTGTAAGACAGAGTACACAGCAGAATAACAGCTCATAAGACAACATTAACTTTAATAAAATGTAGTAATATAAAGTCCATTCTAATCTGCTCAGGACATGACATTTTCAAGAACACTACAAGAGCAAGGTTGTTTGGTTTTGTTCAAAACTAAAGAGCTGACAATGTTGACTAAGTATTTTAAATACAATGACAGGGACAAACAGCTCAAGTTCTACTAAGTCATAAAATTATGAAGAATATATATTAATATATAAGAAATTAACCCAAAATAGTACTTCAAAGAAAACTGCACATATAGGTCAAAACTGAACAATTGCAACTTCAAAACAACTGCACATGTGGAAGTTGCTATGCAAAGTTTGAGGTTTTTGGATGGCTGGCTGTTTAAAAAAAACCAACCACACAAAAATCTAAAGAAATGAAAAAACCCCAGCTGAACACAAAATAAATGCCACCAAAATTCAAATACATCAGCAAGTTAATGAAAACAAAAGAACTGCATCTAGAAAAAGATTCCACTTTCTGGCAGTAGGGGACAATACACAGCTGTAGCTGGGGAGTCTTTTCTTTTCCTGAATTGCATGTTGGGCAATCTTAGTCACAGAAATGCAGGCATAGTAGCAAGCTAAGTATTGAAAATTATATTAACAAGCTACCCTGTTTACCATTACTAAAATATAATACATAAAGAAATATGCTACTCCAGAATATGAAAAAATTTTAGTCACAAATGTGATCTTAAATAATGAATTATTTGTATATGCTCTTGAGTCACTCTTTAAAAACAGACAGCTATTATTTACAACAAAAGACTTCACTTACAAACATCTTACCTGTCTACAACTTCTCCTTTCCTCTCTCTTGCAATCATATCCAGCAGAGTTTGCCTCAGGTGATCCCTGATGCAGCCATAACGTACGACCTGATCTCGAAAAATGATCAGGCCCAAGTTGTAGACATTCTCCACGTTGTTCTGTTGCACATACACTCGGTCCTACAGAAAGGGCATGAACAGCAATAAAATTGTGAATTCACTGCATCAATGCTATTCAAAAATACAAGAGATTAACCCCTTCTCTACAGTGGAAATATGACCAAATATATTTTTTCGCTTAACAGAAATAAATTATGTATACCCTTCAAAATTCATAATCAGTCCCATCTTCCCAAACTGCATTTACACTTGGATTTCTATTTCGCTTACGAGTATAAGCACAGCATTTATGACTAAAGCATGCCATAGCAGATCTATAGCCTTCCCACTTTTTCGTCTGGGTGCAGAGGAGTCTCCAAGCACTGACAAAATACATAGCACTATTTGCAAGAGGTTTTATTTACCTACTCTAATCTTCCATCTCTTTCTGATCCTAAAGAAAAACTATTTAACTTCCCCCCCTCCTCCATGTATCTTCCTACCACTCCTTTTAGTCAAAAGATACTCAATATTCAGTGAAATTTCCTGAAATAGCATCAGCAGCAAATATAGAGCCAAAACAAGAAGAGTTATAATCAAAATCTTTGTGGATTAGTACTGCAAAATTGTACATAAGACTTCTGTAGACATCCCTTCCTCCACCCTCCCCAAATTCACTTTCATTCCACTTGAGAAATATTTCAGAATTTTGTTATGTTTCATTATAATCTCACCCATACACCACCTGCTCCCCAAAAAAAGAAGAGGGAGAGAAGAAAATATTTTTTACATTTCCATGTATGTTTAAATTCTACCTCCCAATATAATCTCTGTCCATGGGAAGGATCAAGCTCCTCAACTATGTATTTTTTATGCAACTACATTTAAAAACCAACACTGATCCTCAGATCAGCATATTTAAGACTGCATAGCCCAAAATCCATCGTACAGATTTGACTGAGAGTGCTAAGCAGACCCCGAGTCTCTTACTGCTACCCAAAGAAATGCCCCAAAAATTTGTCTCTTCTTTCCTATTCCTCTCTCCCAACTTAACTCTGAAAAAAGGAATCTATTAATGAAGTCAGTAGCAGACAGAAAATGCATGTATTTGATTAATAACCATTACTGAGTCAGACCGCTTAAAACAGTATTAGAAAAACGGTGAGTTATTACAACCCCTTTCTGAGATGAGCAATTATTATTTTTGTTCTTTTCTGTCAGGGCATAATTCATTCCTCTAATACAATACTTTGAGCAATTACTAAAAATACTTTGCTACCATTTAAGCATCAGGACAATGACATTAGAAACAGCTAGGTGTACCCACTCACAAATCTGACTAGGATGAGGTTTTGTAAGAATGTATATAGCTATAATGAAACAATAATACCGAAAAATAATCAAATTCTATAAAGGATGATGGTTAATTGATAAAATTGAGTATAAAGATTAGCTTCTCCACTGGTTCCACCACTACCTTATTAAGTGCTTTATCACACACAGAATTAAAGAGTAAAGCTACTCAAACACCTGGAAAATGAAACCATTAAAAGAACAAATGTTATGCTTCAGACTATGGAAAAAAAAAAAAAAAAAAAAAAAAAAAAAAAAGAAGGAACAGACAGCCCAGCATTTAGCACCTGCATTCACATGGAAAAATTGTTCCTAGACTAATTATATGCCAGATTGCCACTTGTGACCAAAGGAAAGCAAAACACTGGGTTCAGCAATTAATGTGTGATTTCCCACTCTCTGCCTTCAGACAGGCAGCCCTTAAATTAAATGAAAAAACAAGGTGGGAACATGTCAGATATGCCCCCTCTGTGGCTCCTGAAGCAAGCTCAGATGTCTGAAACTACAACATTTACTAACTGCTCTAATGAAGTCAGTTCAGAGATGTGTGGTGGGCTAAGTCTTTGGAATAGGTTACTTTTGATTTTCTGTTTTTAGAAACAGGATTGTTTATTTCACTTCCTTATTTACACACTTACATCAAGAAAAGAAGTAAACGTGATTCTCAAGCAAAACAAGCTTAAAATACATTTTCAAAGAGATGAAAGAGCAAATTAAATTGTAGTGTCTAATACTATAACTTGAAGAGAAAAGAATATAATTATTATTTCAAAAAATATTCAGGGCTCTGAAGCACAGGCAGCAGGGTATCTAAAAGGATTAAAGCCATGGCCATGACTCATCTGCATAGCTTCTGTTGTGGCAGTGCTGAACACTGCCATTGTGAAAGAGTGACTCCTCTCAGTTTATCAGCAGCCTCTGTAGTAAGCCAGACCTCTCAACAATACCCAAACCAGAGCAGCAACATTAACATTTCTGATCCTGCTGATTTGCTCACCCTTGGTAACAGATCACATTTGCTGGAAGCTCTCCCAGTCTAAAAAAGAAAATCACAGAGAGCCCCATTTGGGAACAGGTTTGACTGACAAGGCTACACGCTACTGAACAGAAATCACTTCCCAAGGGGAAAAGCAGTGGGTGCTTAAAGGTAGGAGTAACTTTCAGGAGACAAGGATGGAGTTTCAGGCAGCAATTATTGATGAATTACAATTCTGCTGACACTCCAGAATAATTCTGAAGCCACCTACTGTAAGGTACCAGTAGCCACATTTTAGCCATCTCTGCATGGATGCACTACCTGGATGATGCAGCAGCCTTCAGACACCCTTGTGTATACAGTAAGTGTCTTTGATCTCAGCTCTGGAAATAAAAACAACACTTCTCTCTATTATCCAGTGTGTAAGCCACTGACAATGGACAATGAGAGTAATTCGTCAAAACTCACATATCCAACCTGTCAATGCTGGCCTAAAAATAAAAAGACACCAGCTTTGTGCACAGCACAGATGAGAAGGGAATGCTCTGCCTTCTGAAAAATCCACAGTTGTATTTGCAGGAGCAATTGTTCACTTCGACAGTGTGTAACTGGCACTACCCATAGGCCTGTAAGGCAGCCAGGGGTGTGACTGCTGCACTTGCATACCTGAAATTGCTTTAAATTTAGCAAGCACAAGTAATGGAGACACCACCGAATCCATTTAACCCAGTTTCCATTCGACATTCTAAGAATACACACATCCACAAGGCTTGGAGAAAAGCCCAAAGAACTCCACCTCCATTGCTCCCATTCCATACAGCAGCTAAATAAAGCCCACTGTAGGTATGTTTACCTGCACCACCACTGTGAGGCTGAATTTCAGATATGTCAAATGAACTTCAGTACTTACTTCAACCTGCCTTAGTACCTGATCAGACTCAGCAAAGATGCTGCTTAGCACATGACTTGACTGCTTCAGCACCTCACTGCTTGTCACAGACAGTGCCACAATTTACAGTGTATTACATCTACTCTGGCACCAATTACTGCAGCCTAAACATGTAAAAAGGAAGAGAGCTCATGCTGTATCAAACAAAATCCAGTGGAACTACATAAACTTGAAATTCAGTCAGGGAACTTGGAATGTCTCAAAATAATCAAGACAAACCTTGCACAGTAAGTGCAAAAGATTGCGAAAACCTCATACTACACCTGCAACAGAAATGAAAGCAACAGACTTCTACTAGAGAGCTATCACAAGAGACAAGGCAATACACATTTTTAAAAACACAACTATAAGGCAAACTTGAGAGTGTTTTCTGGAGGATGTTCTGCATGAACAATGAAATCCTGCCATAACCTCAAAGAGCAAGTGTTCTAGTCATTAAGCATGACAATGCACAAACCCCACTGTACAAAACACATGCCTTCCTAAAAATTACCAAGATTTACTAAAAAAGATTTGTATTGATTTTTATTTTAAAAACAGAAAAAAATTAAACGGAGGAAAGAAATTAAGGTGGGTTGAAAAGGTGTTTTGTTTGTTTTGACTTAAATCAAATGGCAGCTAACGAGTGAAACAAAGTTGGAAAAAAAATGTGGCATTAAAACAGATACAATTTAGTTTAAGATGTTCAGGATGTAAAATCACTAAGCTGAAGCAGGAATTCAAGAGAATAAGACCAGAATTCAAGAGGGTATTAAATGTTTTACTTTCACTGATGTCACAGTGTGGCCTGTTGGGCAATAGGTACATTTCCTGAAACTGATGTGTAATCGAGATGGCCTACAAAACAAGAGAAGGATTGGGTCATGCTTTACTTACAAACACAAGATAATTGCAGATACTTCTGCTAGAACACAAGCATATTAATTTACAATGCCTGGTGACGCAGGTTATACAGTGTTTGGTGCTTTTTTTAGATAAAATATTTTTAATGTCAGTTATATTAGATTTGCTTGAATAGAAGTGTATAAATTATTTCTGAAAAAGCATATCATTATAAACCTATGTGTCAGTCAGACTCAGGATCAGAAAGTAAGGACAAATCATTCTTTATTTTATAAAATTCTTGAAAATTGTTTCTTTGAAAAGCAGTCAAGTCTGAACTTTCACAGGTGCTTTATAATTCTGTGGCACTGGCAGCTTTCCCAAACTTTTTGAATGAACACATGTTCAATACTTAGTCTTTTGTGAATGAAGAAAATTACATCTGACTCAAGAGGACATCCCAGTGACAAAGGTGAAACTGCAAATCTTTCAAAGTAGTCCTGTTTTAAATCACTGATTATTTTTTAATTTGTAATCAAAATATGTATTATTGACAATTTGTCTTATGTCCCTCCAAGTCAAAGGAGGGAGACTGCCCATTGTATTAGACTTTCACACTAGATAGTTCTACCTAATAAAAATTAAAATTATAACTATAAACTCCATATTACATTACATAGCTTTAACAAACAAACATCAGTGCCCCTAAGTTTATATAAGAATTTTGAAAGATTTTTTGAAAGATTATTATGCCATAAATATATTTTATTGTGGATGTTTTTTTTCTGCTTCTGTGGTACAAGGGAAAAAAAAATCTGTGGGAGTCATATAATTAGTCAAGCAGAGGGCTCAACTGAACACCCACTTGAAATAATTAGGAACTGTCAAACAGCACACAGAAAGCTACGTAGTCCAGAGGATTCAAGCTTATTTATTATTCTGCTCTCAATCTAAAAGACAGCCAATGAAGGTCAATTTACACTTCAAGGAATGCTGCAGCTTTCCTTCTCCTGGAACCTTGGCGGAAAAGAGAAGGCTGGCTGGATGTCTGAACAGCACTCTCAGGCTTCAAAACAAAGTCAAGGCATTGCTCTTCTGACTGCAAATAATACTCAGGAAACAGCTCTCCTGCTCCCCCAGGAGTGGTAACTGAAGCAGGCAACCCTTCCCCGAAGAGAAAAGGTTTTGGCCTTTAATATACTGGTCAAGCCACTAAAACAAGGAAAGCTTATAAGCCAGTTTTCTCTGCCACCGTTTGAAAGATCAGAAATTTATTGATTTTAAGAGCAGTAGATAACACTGCATTATCCATTACTCTGGATCATTCAGTACCTCCTGTGCTGAAATAATATATAATATTGGGCTGAAATGCAACAGTGCTCCCCTAGAAAGCTCTGGATTCCATCTTTTAACCTTTCTGAAAATTTACCACTACCTTTGGTAGATTAATCAAATCATTAAATATTCTTGAATATGCCTAGATGCAGCTAACAGCAATTGATTTGTATTTGTCCTTCACAAACAGATTAGGGAGTCCAGGATCTCTCACAGCAAGGACAGTACATCTTCAAAACAATCTGTCCATCTTCCTTTTGGCACACAAATCATTCAGTGTCACTGATGGCATGTTATCCAGCACCCTATTTTTTGATATGTGGCCTTTTCCCTACTGAAACAAACCAACTCCTCCAACATGAAGGCCAGTAAACCAGTTAAAAATTTTTTTGTGATTCTGTAATTACTTCAAATTCTTTAACATGTAGTAGCTTATTGACCAAAGAGGACTTCACAGCTAATATAAACACGGTCAATGTCACAGCATGAGATCTTTAACAGCTACAAGACAAGATCTTAACTCCTATTGTTTAGCAGATAGAGTACAATTCCAGTTAATCTGCTTTTTGGACCAAAAAAGTTCATTATTGTCTGTCCTTCACTGTCAAGTACTGCATCAATTATTATATTTAGGATACTTTGGAGGGAAAAAAAATTTACACAAAAAAAATTTACACAAAAAACACAGCGTCTCAACACTTCCTTTTGAAGTCAAAACCTTTGTCTAGAAGCTAAGCAAAAATACTCTCTTGCATCCTAAAACATCCCCAATATTATGGGAATTTTAGTACTTGCTAACTACCTAAAGCATAACACAATCCAGACACAAAAATGTTAGGCCCTCTCTCTTAAAAAAAAAAAAAAAAAAGAAGTCTTTTCTGTTGGCTATAGGTGAGAAATGGCAAGCATGCAACCAAAAATCACATTCTGTGTACACTGCTTCATCTTCTACACAAGTTGTTAATGAGCAGCCAAGGATCCAACTACAATTTAACATTCAAGGACACACACTGTACCTAAGCAAAGTTATCCTCTTTGAATCCTAAAGCTTAAAGAACAGCCACACTGGAAGTTTCAGGAGGCTTTACACCATAGTGCTTTCCACAGTAAGAAAACACCACTACCTGAACTAACACCTATAATCTGCCAGAATGGGTCTGACTAGCTTATTTTTTAAGAACTCCAAAGTTCAAATATTTTTTAGATCAATTTTTCAGGTGATAATGAGATAACCTAAAACATGAATCCAATTACAATTTGTCAAACACCTGTAGCAGTCTTGCATGCACACAGAAAATTGAAAACAAGGGACAGAGAGTAGTCTTTGAAAGAAGACTGGTAAGCATGGTAAGAGGACAATTTACTACACTGCTAAATGTGTGAAATAGCAGAATACCAACCATATACATCAGGATGTCTCTAATCATCACCATTGCTGTTTGATGATCATTCCACGCTTGGTTTAGTGTTTGTAGAAAGTTGTTATTCAAGGAGTTTAACACATCTTCTCGCACCTGAAGTGAAAAAAAAAGAGATATATTGACATAAACTCAAGTCAGTTTCTTCTGCAGCATTTAAATCTTAAACTTAGCTTCAGCACAAGAATTCTTGCTCCTCCATGGACCTGAATTTTGCAAACAGGTTCTTTCTTTTCCTGGATGCTGACTATCCCTACCTCACATTTCCCTTCTGTGGTAAAATAAGTAAGAAAAATTATGCTAGCAACAAGAGAAACAAAATAAACATGGGTTTTAAATTTCAAAGGAATTCCTGAAGTTTCAAATGTTAAAAATAGTCTCTGACGACTCCTCATAGCTTTCATTTCCTGTGTTATAGTGTTTCAATTGCTGGTAATTTTACTATCACAAGTAATTTCAGAACATTGGGTAGTAGCAGCAAATGCTACAAACAGGAACAAGTAGAGGTGGAAAACTGGCCATGATGACATTTAGAGACACAAGCTGAGATAGCATAAAGATACAGCAAACAACAGTTCTGAAAGGAACCAACTGCTTGCTAAAGACCATACTCTTACATTAATACCAACAACAAGATTTCATAGAAAAAAAAGGAAGTCATCTTTGTTTTTTCACAAATGTATTTGCAATTTGCAAGTTAATCTGTCTCATCAACTTCAGATTTTAAGCCTCTTTGCCACTACTCTCCCTACTAATAAAAAAGCCCATCCTTTTTCATTTTTTAATTTTTTTCAGTAGGCAGATACTGCAGTGCTCAAATTTGAAACTCATGTCAAACCTGGGGGAATGTAAAAAAAATTGTTCCAGAGTTAATAAAATGTGGGAATTGACTTTTTACATAACATGCAAAATATATTCTGCCCTCAGTTGTAACCAAACAGAATGTTCACATTCATTGATTTGGACTGATACCTGGCTGATAGTGTAATTTCAGTACAGAGATTCAAACAGGAAAACAAAACACACATGGCCAGGCAGCCACAAGCTGCACCAACATCTCATGCACTCATCTGACAGGCTTAATTCTATCATTCCAGTTTTATGAAGTTATTAGGCCAAACCAGAGTAACAGAATTCTGTCTGCCACACTACTGTACACACACAAACTCAGACGAGCAAACCGGAGACACAGTGTGGAACATCATCCAACACAATGGTTTCAAGGAGGAGAGGGATGAAGGAGAAAAGGAGAGGAATGAAGGAGCAGGAGAAGGAAGAGGAGAGGGAGGAATGAGGAGAAAGAGAAGAGGGAGGAAGGAAGAGGGGAAAGATGAAGGAGGGGAATCTTATCCCAGTAATATTCACCTTGTTACTGCATCTAGGCAATACAGGTATGCATGGGTTGTTCAAAGCTTTCTTACAACTTCAAACACCTACTCTGCACACCTGAGCAAGGCCTCTCCTGCTTGCTTTTGGAAAACATAATATGCAGTTATAAGCACTGCTTAACTACATCGTTCTTTCTGATCATGATCATCATTTACCTTTTGGTCTCCCAAATGTGTGTTCTGTTGTCACCCAGTCCAGGTAGTTTTTAGCCAAAACATAAATACACACTAAAAACTTCAGCAGACATACTTGTGAAAAATATGCAGAATCTTCCAGAACAAGAGAAACTAACATGACATGGTTTCTTTCACTTCTTTGTTCAGTATGGAAAAGCTTTATAAACATTATTTGGTAGTTCATCCACACTGACAAAATTTACCAAAGCATGATTAGATTATAAGCACAAATAACCAAGGGTAGTTACTGATCCATTTTATGATACCCTTTACTTTGACAACACAGAGGCAGCGTGCCCTCATAACTGCACATATCCCACATCCATCACACTAATCCTGCTGGGCCAGCCAGTGCCAAGTCACACAGAAGGGGGTGGACACCTGCCACCAGGTAGCAGTGACAACTTGCTTCCAAGCAGACACTGGCACGTTCTGCAATAGTGGCACCTCTGCTCCATATGGTGTGCCACGTGGATTTCTGGAAATGGGCTTGAAATTCAGAAATGGGTGCTGTACAACAGAGCTACCTTCAAAGTTTCCCAGCAAAGCTTCTCAATGTTTATTTGAAACTGCAGAAGAGGTTCAAAAAGTCATTCTTTCAGCTGCCACAAACGCCAACCAAACTACTGCCAAGCAAATTATCACTTACAGCAACTTCATAGTTAGCAAGAGTTCAACACATTCCTTGTATGGACCATTAATTCATCTATACCACAGAGAAACTGCTATAATGCACAAAACATCTTAGCCATGCAAAGGTGCAGAGTCACACCACTTTGGTAGAATAAATAATCTGAAGTGAAAAAATGTGCATACTCACACTCTTTTAACAAAGAGGAGACACAGCTGCTACTCTGCCAAAGCCTTAGAACATTTCAAATCTCAAAGATTTTTATCAGCAGAATGTTACTTTAAATTAGCTGAGCTTGTGGTGATTTCTGTAACAGTATTTGCAGTTATGAAGTAAACTACAGGGAAAGCCAGCTTAAATAGAACTAATTTATTTTCAAGTACATACACAGATGTACTTGAAAATAAATTAGCAACTTTGTAATATATGTAAGGTCTTCTTATAGTTACAAGGATGAAATTTTGTGTATAATTTCAGGCCAAACTGTATTTTCTACTGGCTACACAGCTTCAGGAAATACAGAAACCTTCCCCCAGTAAGAGTAGTTTGTTGGCATAAGCTTTCAATACGTTTAAATAACTTTTGATTAAGTGCACATAAAGAAGACTTATGGCCTACTATTTCTATCTTACAGTGCCTGGCCTGATGCAGCAGCACATATAGTTCAATTATGTAACTTCCACTACTGTAAGGACAGCCAGAACATGCTGAGGGGAGCAGCAGTACAGAACAGCACTTTCTGAACCAAGGCCTCAAGCTCTCAGAACTTTTATTATAGAGTTTCTTTTAGAAAAATCCAAGTAGTCTAAAAGATAGTATTCTAAAATCTTAGGATTCAGATTAACCCAAGTAGGTTAATGGACTGACTACCAGAAATGTCTGTTCATCCCTGCAGCTGCTATCCCAAAAAGGATAAAACCTGCTAAAAGGAAAAAACAAACACTGAAGAACACTGGGGATTCTGAACAGTTATGTACTTTTGAGCAATTCCCTCACATCCGTTTGCCCTCCATATAATAGCAGACTTGCTCAAGATCATCTGAAAACATCATTAAGACAATAAAAAGGCAGATAAAACTTCATACATTGCCAGTCAGACTCACTCTAATGCTCAGTAGGTAATTTGCCTCCTACAACTTCTCGTGTCATTCCTCCCTATTTCATTGATGTTATGGAAATAATTCCAAACTCCCTGACGGAATCACTCTCATCTCTCCCTTTTCTCTTCAACACTAAGACAGCAAATTCTAAAGCTTGCAAAGGACCCCAGACATAACTTTCTAAGTCCCAGAGTAGACACACTTCTTTCAGCCTATACCTGCACCAGCATCCCACTGATGCTCTGAGCAGCTCTGTGCCCTCCTGAACAAAGGCGCTCTCACTGCCTGTACTGTATTCTGGAACAGCAGGTACTGGACAGACCCCTGAGGGACACCACTTGTCACCAATGGCCATCGGGACTCTGAGCCATGGACCACAACCAACAGGTGTGACCACCCAACCAATTTTCCATTGAACTCCACTCACTGAATCCATCTCTTTCCAATTTAGACACAAGAAGGTTATAGGGGACCATGTTGAAACCTTTACAGACACCCAGAGAAGAGACATCTGTAGCTCTTCCCTTGCTCACTGATGCTGTCACTCCTTCACAGAAGGCCACTGGGTTGGCCAGGCAAGATTCACCCTTGGTGAAACTGTGCTGGCTGTCCCAAATCATCTCCCTGTCATCCCTGTACCTTAGCATAGCTCCTAGGAGGATCTGCTCCACGATACTCCCAGACACAGAGGTGAGGCTGACAGGTTGGAGTTCCCAGGGTACTCCTTTCTATGCTTCTGAAAGATGGGTACAATGTTTCCCCTTTCCCAGTCACCTGGAACTTCACCTGATTCCACAACTTCTCAAGTATCATGGAAAGTGGCTTGTCCACTACATCAATTCCCCTCCGGACTCTGGGGCTGCACCTTATTGGGTCCCACTGACTTATGCATAAAATGAACATTAAAAATATTATCCTGTAAACTTTTTTTTTTAACTGTAACACAAATGGTGTTGCTTATCATCCAATGATCTAGAGAGTTGTAAACTAAGCTTTGTGTGTTTTAAAAACACTTAACATTTGTGTGAAGTAATAACAGACTAGGCTTGTGAAGTGTGAAGGAAGAGCGTCCGCATTAGGCTACAAGATTGTCAATGGGCAAGAAAGGGAGTAATTAGTGAAATATCAGATGCACAGGAATTAAATACTTGAATTAAGATGAAAGGTTTCAGTACTTTCAAAATTCAACAGTATTTTTAAATAGCTCTGCATACACCATACTTAACTAATGATGTCAATACACAGGTAAAGACAAGTTTTAGCATGTTCTTACCCTGTAGTAAAAACAAGGTAACTCAAGAGAGCTGACTCATCTCAGTGATGCAGAGTACCTGACTTACCACAGCCTTTATCCCACAGCCAGAACAGGGTGATTTAGAACTGCAAACCACTGGGGTCTGCAAGTCTAAAAGCAAGCATTCTTGGTAATAACTTGCTTGCATGCTCCTTGTATTGATCATATTTGCACCTATTATTTTATTTACAATTAAGCTGTCAAGACAGTGCACTGCGCTGCTTTCCTGTTGAGAAGTTAAATACTTTTCTCATTAAGATTGCTAATTAAAATGCTGAATAAGCACAACTTTCACCTGGCAATTAAATTAGCATAAATCATAAATACAGCTCTTAACCATGCCTTGCCAAAAATGAAGGAATGCTTTCCATGCTTTAAAACTATTTGTAAAAACAATTGAACATATACATTGCCTCTACCTAGTCTCTTCATCTATTCCTAATTAACCAGCATGACTGGAATATCACAGGAATGCAGCTTTTTGTAAAAAGATAACCTGGAGATGTGGGCAGCAAATGACAGTTACGGCTCAACGATTATTGCAATTCCAAATTTGGGGTAGGCTCCTCAGCAGTGCTCCCTGAACTGAGTATAGTTCTTCAGTAAAATCTATTCATCTGTGAACATTTCCATTTTTACAAAAGAATTTAATGAACAATATTTCAGTTGGCAAAATCCCTCTCTTCTAAATTCTAGCATCCACCACTGAATCTCGGAATAGAAATTTTACAAAGACTTGTGATGAGATCATTTATCATTCATTAGCTACTTAAAATTTACCAGAGAATTGCTCTTGCAAAGAGACAGCAGACATAAAAGACTTTGCAAAAATTTCTATGACAAAATGTGAGGTTAAACAAAACTTTTTTATCTATCTTACAACAAGTACCAGTGGCACAAACAGAAGATGTCATTATGGAACTGATCCTATTCTTGATAAACAATGCACTATTTTTTCCATACTTCCATCTATATATGCCTCAACATAATGCGTCCAAGGAAATATTCAAAAGGGACAAGCAGTAGCTTTTAGCCTCTGTAAGTTTTTGTTATTTTTCAGAAATTTTTGGCATAAGTCACATTTTTTTAGTCTTTTCCTTGGATTATTTTACAGGCTGGCATCATAGAATAATTTAGCCTTTTTAACTCTATAGCAATTTACTAAAACTCAGTTCACCTTTTTATTTGAAAAAGCTTTGGTCATCTTTTTATCATCCACACACATGGATATAATTTGATTAATCACATTAAAGATCAGAATATTTGGTCATGAGAGAAGATTTTATTTAAAGAACCAGACACAGGAATATTAAGTGTCAGAAAGGCACTTCTCTGCACTGCTATCTGTGCAGTCCTCTCAGCCTCTGCACTGAAAGTACAAACTCAGAATCTTCTGCTCTTTTGTCAGCCTGCCACAATCAGCACCTCAGAATAATTAATTCTGCAAATGAATAATTTTTAATATGCAAAATAGCTAGGAACTAAGATAAGTGGCAGAATACCTAGGAACAAAGATAAAAAGACACCCATCAAATTAAACCAGGCTAAACTAAAGCCTAGGAATAATAAAAGTTTAGTATCACAATTTATTAAATGCATAGACATATACAAGAACAAGGCAAAAAAAGCCTCAGCCATTTGCCACATTTTATGTGAATAGTACAGATTATGAATGCACAGATAATGAAACCAGAAGTTTTTGAGAGTCACAGATGTGCTACAATTATAGAAAAGAACTGCAAATTATTTAACCACTTCAGAGGATGTCTCCTCTGGTGCACACAGTAAAAAAGCCCCACATTCAAAGCAGTTTTAGACTATACTTATCTGGACCACACCTTTAAAAACTAGGATTTTAGAAAAGAAATAATACATTTCTCTGCCACAGCAGTAACTCCAGTTGGAACACGCAAAAAAGTCCCAAAGCATTCTGCATTATTTAGCCATAAATCTCCCATCGATTCTCTGTAATTCAGCCAGAAATAATCATCCAAGACACACGATGGTCTCTGACTTTCCTTTTCCGATCTTGTAAAAACAGGACAAAAATGTGATACTCCATCTGAGCCCATGGCCAGAATATGGGATCAAAGTAAACAGGTAGCTCTCTGCTATGGAAGTTACCATGAGGAGTAAGGCAGGCACCTCCCATAGACTTAGAATCCTATTGCCATGAAATATTATCTGGAGTCCTAAAAAGTGATTTCCAACTTTTCCCACTCATATATTTATTAATCAATTCTAAACTTCCTTCAAAGACTAAAGAAGTGGTTCCACAGTTTAACATGAGACCTGCAGACTCCTTTTCTCAGATGACAGACCTCTCTGAAAGTTTCTGCAAGTCATTTTGACTGACCTACATGGTTTTGCAAAGGCTGACAAGGCAGAATGTGAGCTACTCAGGACTTTTGCTATTGCTGAGTTGCTGTTTTTGAACAGTGCCTGCTGCCTCTTTAAAGAGCATAATCCCAGCACAACTGTCTCATTAACCTGGGAATTAGTTCATCAGCCTATAGAAAACAAGTTCTTACATTGGTATTTATTTGTTCCACAAATGAAAAAAACTGACTGGCAAATAAGACAAAATTTGACCTAAGAAAGTCAACAAATGCCACCAAAACTGACACAAACCTTTAAAAAATATCATCAGCTCTTAACAGTTATTTTCCAAAAAAAAAGTTGTTTCCTTTTGCACTCTTTCAAGTGCTTCCTATGGTCTGCCTTCCATCAGTAATTTAACAGAAACAGTACCTGGAACATGAAATCATTTGAGCTTGATGTTAGCTCTATGCTACCATTTTTGAGAGAAGCTACACAACTGCAACACAAGGTAACATAATAAAGTTAGATTTTCTGTCATTTAAGTAACTGCTCAGAATTCTTTCATATAAGACAATTCTATTTTAATTCACAAATGGACAAACCTTGTTTATTAGATGCTCAGTGACCACTTCTCTTAGTCCAGTGTAGAGTTTTTCACCATGTTTATGCAACACCATTGTATAAGCATTTCTATACAGCTCCTCAAAACTGAGACCACTATTGTTCTTACGCTGAATCTCTTGGATTGCATTTTTCAGAAGATCCCAAATGCTGTTCACATATTTCTCATCCATAGTCATCTGTAAAAAATAAAACATTACGTTATTGTTTTGAATAAAAAAAAAGAATATAGATAATGAGGTAATTGCTCTGCCCCATCTTGTTGATTCCATTACCACAAGATCTCTCAAATTTTATCAAAAGAAAAACAATATTTGAGACTAGTAGAGATTTCAAGAAATATTTATGAAAATTGTAATTTTCAAAAGTTTAATGCTTTTTTGTTTCAGAACTGCAAATGCCCAGAATCCAACCCCAGAGCCTTTGGAGGTGGAAAGGCAGGTAATTGTGGACAAAAGTATCTTCCCCACTTTTCTTTCACACGTTAACAGTGATAGATGGTTAACTCCCATTCCTTATTAACACATTATTTGGCACCTCATAAATTGTATTACAACACTCATGTGCTTCACCAGACCCCAAATCAACCTGTACAACAAAAGATAATAATGTCTGACATAGATTCAGGAAACTTGGTCATCTGCCTGAACTAACTAGGGAATAACAGCTAAAGAATTACACACCTACAACACTGTACCTACAATTTAAATAATTATAGGTACCACTGAAAACCCCCACAAATGCCCAACTTAAACACCTGCATTGAACATATTCCCTTTGCACAAATACAAATAAATACCTTTCTAAAGGACGCATACCAAGCACTAAGCATCAGCTTGATCTGTTATTCAGATGTTGTAAACTTCAGCAAATACACAGAAAGAAAAAAGAAAGATTCAGAGAAGGAGAAAAGCTCTTATAAGAAATAGTCTCAATACAACAGAAAACTTCTATCTAGTGCCTAGTGTGAATAATTTCACACTCGTGCTTTACCAATGCAAAGGTGATCCAGTATATGATATTTTATAGATAAAGCAGTATCTGGGACTGCAAGTAAGCATAGCAAAAAAATATCAGATGCCAGTATCGCTTAAAGTCTGTGATTCAGCCAAGTTTTATCACCCAAACAAAAAAAACCCAAACCAAACACTTTTTTAAACTGAACCAATTTTATTTAAAGTTAGGTTTGATTTAGTTTATACAAAATCAGGAACAGATTTAGCATTTTATAGCTAAAGAAAAGGGCTGAAGGCAGAAGGGAAAAAAGCTGCTATTCCCAGAATTACTATGGGAAGCGAAAATATCCCAGAGTCTATCAATACTGTCAAAGCAGTCTTGAAAATAGGAACTGGAAGTATTAAAAGAGTAAAGAATAACGGTATGACACTATAGAGGAAAATCACAACCATAATTCACCTCTCTGTCTCCTTCCAACAAAACCCACTAAGTGAATAGAGAAAGATAGTAAAACTAGATTTGACTGCATTTGTAATCAAATGCAATTATTTAGCAGAATCTTTTTAATCCATGTATATTTTTACATGTATTTTCAAACTATCACATCAAGTTTTCTAGGCATGATAAGTAACAATACAGATCACAATAAAGAAAAGCCATTCACTGCCTTGGAGGGGAATGGGCTGCTGAATAAAATGAAAACAAGACATGATCTTCTATCCTATGCATCTTTTGGAGTTTTGGTTAAATACAAGGATTTTTATTATAAAAATAATCCTATTGTTACTTTTTCCACTCCTCTGACACCAGATCCACTTGACTACTTAACTCTATGTACCCCAAACTTAAGATGTGCCGTTATGTATCTAAAAGCAAAACCAAAATAAAATCAAACATGTTGAAAAATGTGTAGCTCCCAATCTCCTAAATGCAAAGCCTCAAAGTAACAGAGGAATGGTGGATGGAATGTCACAGGTCCCTCCACACTTCCTTATTCTGCTATGAGCAGCACTGAAAGGTCGGTAATTTTGATTTTAATTTGCATTTGCTACATTGGTGCTGCTTCAGGGAAGTTATTTTCTACAGCCTTCCTGAACCAGCAATTTCACAAGTACTGATAATGAAGGCAACCATTTAGATTTGCAGACAGCAATCCAAGCAAAAGCTTTTTAGCTTTCCTTTCACAAACCCAAGGTTTTGTTTTCAAACAAAGCAGAGGCTCCCCCTGCTAATTAAAAAACTCTCAGCCAACACAACCTTTTTATCTCAACTGCAATTTAATTGCACTCTGTATTCTGAGCAAAGGTATGACCTGTATAAACCAGGCAAATCACTGGGCAGCAGTCTGCAGAGGTATTACAGAGCTCCTGTTTTTGGCTGGTCACAGGGAACATCTCTGTACCTTACACACAGAGACAAAGCAGCACAGTTGGTAATTCAGATCCCTTCAGCAAAAAGCTAAAAGCAAACTGTTAATTCTTGTACTTTTAATCCAAATGCTGTAAAATAGAAGGAATGATTGCAGCACTATTTGCTCCCAAGTCCCTGAATACAAACAAGAACACAAAGCTTTTTGCCACTTAACAATTGCTACACGATGAGCTACTCTGACAGCACAAGAAAGGTTGATAGAAGGCAATTTTAAGGAGTACACATCTCCATGAGGTAAATATTTGAAAAAGTACTATAAAATTATCTTACTACCTTTTAGGATTAAGCATTAAAAATTCTGCTTTTCAATGCAGCTTCTTATTCTGTTTCTGACTCAGATTAACATAGTGAAGTTTTATTGGAACAGGTTTGCTCAAGTTCTAGAATATCATGTTAGAAGAGCACTGTCTTACAAAAAGATCTAGCATAGCTAACTTGTTTGCAGCAGTGTTTTCTAACAAAGCAAAGACTCCTAATACTTTAAATAATTCCATTCTATTTGGCAGTAAGTCACTGCAGTAAAGTTTGAGTAAAAATGTATTATTTCCTCCCTGCTGCTGAAAAGTTGCTAGCATTTGAGCAGAAGAGATCTTCCTGTATTCTCAAGGGTATGTAATAATTGCAATGTATTCTTTGGTTATTTAACTCACAGGTTCATGTCTTTTCATCCCATTCCTTAAGTCAGGCTTGTAGGCAGATTTGAAATCCAAACAAAAAACCAGTAAGTAAGTTGCTGATGCTTCTAGAACATTGGCATTTTTCAGAATTCTCTACAAAAGCATCTCTGACAACACAACTGCAATCCTAATACCCCAGTCTGACCCACCAATGAAGATTTATGCAACTCTCTAGATCCCTAGCAACGAAGTCTGTAAGAGATCCTCTTCCACAAATACAGGATCAGAGCCAAGATGTTTTTCGGAGATTTCTTCTAATGGTTGTATTTTAGAACTAAAATCCACAGTTAGAATACAGTTGCCTTGCTTGTGTCTTTGTATTCTTGCAGATTTAAGCACAGTGCAGATTGCTGCTTCTGCTGGTCTTTGAAAAAAACCACACAGGTTTGGAAAGGCTTTCAGAAGCAAAATCCCAGTGATTTCAGCAGTGTCTACACCCAGATTCACCAAGACAGCAAGAAGCCAGTGTCCAAGCAGAGGAAACGTGTTAATGTACTCACGCTTATCTGAACATTACCTTTCTTGGGGAATGGGAAAGCGACCAAGTCTGTTATTGGCAGGAGAGAGAGCTGTTTATAAGAAGCCGCTGGTTGGAAAACTTCCACACACTGCTGCCCAAATGCTAATGATTCAAAGATGCAACTCGAGCACAAACATCTGAATTCAGTGTAGCACAAGTACATCTTGAGGAAATTAGACTAAAATGTCAGTGTACATGAAAGTACAGTCATTTCACAAAAAAGAGACTACAAAGGACTTAAGAGATCCTTTATACCATAGTGTGGGATCAGATACACTCAAGCCCCTTCCTTTAACAATGTTTCTCTACCCTATTAAAATCATCAATTCAAATAAATAATAACTGTCAGCAATCTATTGCTGTTATCACCTGTGAACAGGTAAAGCTGGCAAATTCCTGAAGAGACTTCTCAGTCTCTCCCTCCTAGAAGCTCACAGGCACCACCTGCTCCAAGTAACCTACCACAGCATTCAATCAGAATGAGCAAACAGCTCAATTCTTGTTATTTTCTGATCAACATGTAACTTCATGCAAAATGTTATCAGCCCCCTTCTAGACATGTAGTTCCAAGAGAAGTGCAACATCCCAGACCTAGGGGGAAGGAACAACCCCATGCATTAATGCCTGCTGGGGCAAATGGCTGGAAAGCACATTTGGCAGAAAAGAACCCAAGGCTCTTGGTGGACATCAAGCTGATGACAAACCAATGGGCCCTTGAGACAAGGAAGATTAATGGTATCCTAGGCTGCATATGGAAGAGCTGCCAGCAGGCCAAGGGCTCTACTCAGCACTGGAAAGCCATGTAGAGCACTGTGCCCAGTTCTGGGTTCCCCAGTGTAAGAGAGACACAATCACACTGGAGACAGTCCAGTGAAGGGCCACTAACAACCCTCTGGAGCATCTCTCATAGGAAGGCCAGAGTCAGCCTCTAGAGCCAGCCTAGAGAAACCCTGCAGGGATCAAATCAGTACATGTAAAATCCAAAGGGAGGGTGTACTGAAGAGAGAACCAGCCTCTGCAGTTGTGCCCAGTGACAAGAGCAGATACAGCAGGCACAAACACAGGAGATTCCTCGTGATCATCATGAAAACTTTTTTGTTGTGTGGGTGACCAAGTACCAGCATAGGTTACCCAGCGAGTCTGCAGAGTTCTCCATCCTTAGGGACATTCAGAAGCCATCTGGATACAGTCCTGAGCCACCCCTGCTTGTGCAGGAGCAGTGGGGCAGGATGACTTCCCACAGTGCCTTCCAGCCTTAACCACCGGCTGATCTGGTGACACACATTACAGCTGGAGGCTGAGGAAGCCGGAAAACCAGGGCTCCCTGGAAACGTGACCTTTTCAAACTGCCTGTACCAGTCTTCCAATGGAAATGCATTGTATGGTAACAAAGGTGAGCAACAAAATACTTGAGGTCACCAGTGGAACCTGGTGTTTGCTTCCTAGCTTCTACCAACTACAGTCAAAAAACAACACTGAAACTCCCAGATTCAGGAACATCCAACCTATCTGATGCTGGAAATCCAGATTACTTTGCAAAGAAATAAATGTTTTGCGGTATAATTTCCATTCTATTTACTTTAACTTCTACAAC